CCCCGGCATCTTCTTCTCGAGCAAAGTCAAAAGTTATCGACACGCCCCAAATGCCACCTCTCACCGATTCCCCTGATGATAATGCAACTGGTCGCAAGGGTAACTTCACTCCTGATGAAGACCTCCAGCTTTGTCAATCGTGGCTTAACATCTCACAGGATCCGCTTATCGGCAATGGTCAAACTTCAAATGCAATGTGGCTTAGAATTGCAGCGGACTTCAAGAAACAAATGCTTCTCAAGACCGATCCTAAAGACTACACCGAACGATCTGAAGAATCCCTGCAATGTCGATGGCGCCCTATGAACAGAATGATCAACAAGTATGTTGGATATCTCTCCAAGGTTAAGAGCTTCCACGGTAGTGGTAAATCCGCCCACGACATCACCGCAGACGCACACGAGATGTACTTGCAGAGAGAGAAACATGTCTTCAAACATGTTCAATGCCACAACCTTTTATCAACTGCCCCGAAATGGGCCGACTACAACACTGAACTGGCTAGACGTAGCAATCCGAATCCCACTCCTCCCAAACCTACCCCTTCTGTCATTTCAATTCGGTCAACCACAGCGTCTCTGACCGATCTTGAAGATTCTGACATCGAAGTCATATCTTCTGACTCTCATGATCGCCCTATGGGGAACAAATTTGCCAAAAAATCAAAGCACGCGGAATCTCTTCTGTCGCAGTTGGTAGATAGCACCAAGGCCATCGCGGTGGCTAGTGGCTCGATTGCTTTAGATTCACAAATACAAGCCTCAGCGGTCGACTTCCTTACTGATGATGTTGTACTCAAGACAGATCTTTCCACGCTTCAAGGTGATATCAGATTGTATTATCAAATGAAGCAGGCTGAGATAGTCAAGAAGAGAATGGCTAATATGAGGGCTGAACATGGGCAGTAGTAGTCATTTACCTCATGTTGAGATCAGTCATGGTTTATTTACTCGTTTCACTCAATTTATGCTTCTTGGTTGTTTGTCTGTGCAGTTTATGTTTTTGCTTGTAAATTTCTCTTTACTTACTTATTAACCTTCGTTCTGTCTCTGCCTCTGTGTGCTGTGTGTGATTTTGTAGATACGACTTTCCCAAAAAAATTTATTGCTGTGTATTTAGTTCATTGCTATTTTTCATGTCATGTTGATAATTATAAACATATTGATTTTTATACACCTTTGGATGATAGTATAGTAGCATCGACCGGCTTCCGCAAGTAAGCTACTAATTGCAGTTCCCCCATTCTGGAACAAGTCGTGAGAGTAACCAGGTGCGTTATTGGGTGATTTGCAACTTGGGTTATTTGCAACTCTGGTGTTTCTCCAGGTTGCCATGACTGATCTTAGATTAATATTAATTATTTCAATAATGAATAATCTACGATGTGGCCTCCTCTCAATACTATAAAAAAGGCTTGATCTTATGTGAGGTTCAAGAAAGATCTCGTTCTCAAACTCCACTGTTTGTTCATAGTTTACTTTACCTCTGTATATATCAACGCTTACACATTCCTTCTGAGTTAACCTTGTCGAACTCTTAAATCATAATGTCTTCTTCCAGCGGCAATTCCGGGAATCAAGCAACCCCAAGTTCCCCCGATGTCACCTGGATGGGTACGACGTTTGGAACCGGATTTTCGCCCCAAGGATTCCTCCGATACAACCGGATTCATCAGGACCTAGCCGAAGGACAAGGCGATAATCGTCGGGAACTTGTAGATCCCAGATTGCGAACACCTGAAAGCGAAGGTGAGTATAAGTCTGATAGTTTGTATTAAACTATCATACTGACTTTCTAATCATTAGGAAACTCCCGCGATTCATCTCCAGATATAATAATTATTGCTTCCAACCGCGGTAACAACCACACGCCCAACGTTCAAGGTCAACATGATCTTTAATGCAAAAACCCTGCATGCAACACTAAGTTAACATATTTTATCCTTAGGCAACCATCCCAGCCCCCGAGCTCAACGAGAATTAGAGCGATTGGAGGAGTATCAACGCCGACAAAGAACCAAACAAGAAATGTGACGTATCATTAAAGTCATTCAAAGTAAGAGAAGAGAAGAGTTTTGAGTCCTTTGTGAAGCTCTTGGCCAGGTTTACAATTACCAAGGACGGTACCTTCAAGGGCCAGGTGAAAAGGAGTCTGCCGCTCATATTTTATGAGAGGGTGGTTTGGGAGCCGAATTTGTAAATGTATTTGATCATGAAGCCAAATGGGCTTGGCTTCAAGCTTGTGTGAACGCGCTTTAGAACGCGCTTTAGTTAGCATTTTATGATAGTCTATGATGTGTGGTTGAATCATTCTTGTATTGCGTTGTTGCTCTTCTCATGTTATCTTTTGGTAGTGTCTCGCTCTCGCAGAAGCAGTTTAGATGAAATGAATCTAAACTGATTCATGGGTCCGTATACTCTTGCATACAATACAAATGCTGAGGGATAAAGTGAACATAAAGTAAATGGCAAGGTGAAAAAGTATATGTACAATATATAATAAGACAAAAAAAAACCTCGATGACCCATGAACTGAGTAAAAAGATGGATGACATTCAGATTCCACCAGCCTCACCCCCTCTCCTTAATCCCGCCGCACCTCGTAAGCTCCAGAGATGCTCGATAAGGTTGTTTTGTAGTTGCTGATGTAAATTTTGATCTTCAACTTGGCTTTGCATATTGAGATAACACTGATAAGGAGTCATGTCATCATCTGGATGTAGCACCTCCACTATATCCACCAGAGGAATTACTTCGTGGGGCTCTGTTGGAACAAAATCTCGTTTAATTTCTTTTACTAATAATGTTGTGTTATGAACATAGAATATGTAATATGTAACTGCTTTACTCACAACCTTTCTGACTGAACTTTAACCCAACCACAACATGTATTGCTTAGTTCAATATATCAGATCACAAGTTGTAGAAAACTTTCTTTTCATCAATCATTAGAAAGTTTTCTTTTTAACACCACATCATAGTTCATCAACTCTTCTCCGGATACTTCATCTCCTTCTAAGACTGTCTGACTAATTGATGTGTTGTTTGATCTGATTAGGTATGAATAAGTTCTTCATAATTGTGTTTCTGTTTTTGTCTGTTTTGAATGAAATCAATTATTAGAAAGTTTTCTTTTTGACACCACATCATAGTTCATCAACTCTTCTCCGGATACTTCATCTCCTTCTAAGACTGTCTGACTAATTGATGTGTTGTTTGATCTGATTAGGAATCAGAGATTCCTTTAGGCTCCCCGCCTCGCTCATCCTCAACTACCATGTTGTGGAGGATGACACAACATAACATGATAGATTTCAATACTTTTGGACTCCACATACGCGCTGGACCAGCCACTATCGCAAATTGCGATTGTAGAATGCCAAAAGCGCATTCAACATCCTTTCGAATAGATTCTTGCAACGTTGCAAACCACTGTAGAAGTTAAATAACATACCGCATGTCAGTAATACTGTTCTCGTAGAGAGAATATACACAAGAGTATAATAAATACCTGTTTTTTCACGTCTTGTGGATGTGAAATGGTTTTAACAATAGTAGACCACTTGGGATAGATTCCGTCCCCCAGATAATATCCTTTGTTGTACTGGTGACCATTAACTTCAAAATTAACCTCGGGTGCTTCACCTCGGCAAAGACAATCGAATAACGGAGAATGGTTGAGTACATTGAGATCATTAAGTGAACCAGGAATTCCAAAGAACGCGTGCCATATCCAACAATCTTTGGATGCAACGGCCTCCAACACAATAGTTGGGCCACCTTCTTTGCCTTTATACTGACCGCTATGCGCCCTGGGGCAGTTCTTCCAACGCCAATGCATGCAGTCAAGTGAACCTAGCATGCCTGGGAAGCCCCATTCTTTGTTTTCCTCAAGAAGTCTGGCAGTGTCCTCTGCGTTGGGTTCTCGGAGGTATTCTGCTCCAAAACGAGACACAACGGCGGCACAAAATCGTTTCATACTCTCCGTAGAGGTTGTTTGGCCCAGACGTAAGTTTTCGTCGTTCATGTCCGCAGGAGTCCCGTAGGCGAGCATTCTAATGGCGGTGGTGCATTTTTGTAAAGGAGTTAGGCCCAGTCTTTGACAAGCATCGCGTTTTTGAACAAAGTAGCGGTCCTCTGCAGTGACACCTTTGACAACGCGCAAGAAAACATTGCGTCCCATCCGGTAATGATGACGAAACTGATAGTCATTGTAACGAGGATTATCCACGAAGTAGTCTTTCATCAATTTCTCATGTCCTTCTTCGCGGTTACGTTCGATGTTGGGAGCTTTTCCAGGCTTGGAGCCACCCCCTCGTCGCTTGTGAATATCTTGAGAAGTAATGAAGTGACGAGCTACAGACGAGGTCACTTGGCCAGCATCAACTATTGTTTGCATACGATTATTTGTTTGGGCACATATAGATAACAGGTTGTTTAATGCGAGAGGATGGGGATCTGGCTGATCAGCCATTTGATCACACGTTAAGATTAAAGATCACCGTGAAGAGGAAAGGAATACGGAAAAAGATAAGATATATCGAGAAAAAGATGTGATCGGTTTCAACTGAGCAGTGAAACCGATCACCACCAAAAACCGACTACTCAGAGATAATGTCTGTCACTTCCGTGGCAGACAATATCTCTTTGTGGATATCTAAATTTCCACTTTCTCGTGTTTACACGGCAACGGTTTTCTCGAACGCCGGGCATATTCCATTGACCTGTCATACAGTCTTTGTACAGACAATTACAGAGACCCAAAAGGGTCGGATTTTACACTGCCCGGTGGTGATGCTCTTACTGATTGTATCTCTGTCTGGCAAAATCAAGTATCTGTCAGTAGCTTAATTGTATTGATAGATACAGTCAAACCTGTGCAATTGCATAATTTGGGGGGAACAGCTGGCCTATGCAATTTCATGGGTTATACCAAGTGAGGTAAGATACAGCATAGATCAAAATGCATAAAGTTAGGGCCCGTTCCGCTCAATTTCCCAAAAGTTGTCACGCAAAAACAATTTTTGATTTTGCCCCTTTTTTGAGGGGCAAAATCAAAAACGTGAAACTCGGCTTTTCCATTACCGAACAGTCAACGGAAAAGGTCAACGAAAGATCATTTATTGATTGGACAAGGGGGGCAAAAGCGGCTTTTGACTTCAAAAACAGCCTCAAGCCTGTTTTTGATTTTGAACCAACTTTTGATCAAAAGTGGTTTTTGATTTTGATCAAAAACCACTTACCAAACGGTCGTGTTTTTGACGAAAATCAAAAGCCACTTTTGGTCAAAAGTGATTTTGGACTTTGGTGTAGCTTTTTACCAAAAGTGGCTTTTGGGTTCCAGCCAAACGGGCCCTTATGCATTTTCACAGGCTAGGGTTAGGCTTTAATTAGACTTAGGGCTCAAGGTTTATGTATAGTTAAGTGCAATCTTATCTTGTATTTGGGCTAGAAGCTATGCAATTAGGCTTTCAAGACCTGTTTTTTTGAATTTTGAACTATGCATTATCATTTTTGACATAATTATGCAATAAATTCAGCTTTTAGTCCACACCAAGTTGGTGGAAGTCCTGGTCTATGCAAAATGGCTGGTTATGCAGTTGCACGTGTATGCAATCGCACGGGTCTGACTGTAGAAATGATAACATCAACATCCTCCATTCATCATAATCCTAGGACCAAATAATGAACACCAAACAGACCTTCACCATATCTCAAAAACATGAACATGATCAACAAATCCCTTCAACACCATCCCATGTTATGTTTCCCAGTCATTCAACATAAATAACTTCACCATGATCACTTGGACCTCTTTCTTGGCTTCTTACACTGTCATGATTAGTCACTCTCCCAAATGAAATCATGTTTCTTTTTGCAATGATCAATGGACATTTATATGATAATATTGAATGATTCCAAAAAAAAAATGAAAACTTATTCCAATTGGGAGGGTATTTAATCCTGACAGTTTTACCTGAGTAAATTGGACAGATTTGGAATTTGACAAAACATACAATCTTGGAAATATCTTTGTAGTACTTACAGAATCATTTAAACAAAACCCCAAGGTGGGCTAGACAAAAACTTTATGAGTTACTCCAACCCACACCCTATGGGGTGGCCAGCATACATACATAATATATATAAATATGAAACTTAACACTTATACAACTGCTTAAAACCATAAAAAGAACATTTGACAATGTAGATATAAATCAAATATAAAAAAGATGAAAAACATCTTATACTTTCTTTAATAAAATTGAATGATGAAGAAACTAATCTAAAGAAGAACCATACTAAACATCAAGAAGTCCAAGATAGAAAATACATAGATCCTTAATTGTTGTTTTTTATATGTATATTTTGAACAGATACCAACTCATCTGTCTTGTTTTTCCAAAAAATGAATCTCATCACTTTCCTCAAAGATAAATACATATTGAAATCTTGAAGGGTGGGAGGGTGGTTTTTTTGATAATATGAATAAAGTTTGATCTTTGATGAACTTGTTAACCTGAACTTACAAATATTGGTGAATCAGGTAAGAAGCAGATGAAAGAAAGGAAAACAGATTCAATGGTGAAGGTAAACAGGTATGATGTCATATTACCATTGAGGTAATATGGAAACAAAAAACCCAATCTGACAATTACATCTTTCCATCTCTGAGTACCTACATTCCAATATTCCAATCAGTAAGTAACAAGTAACCTACAACTATTCAGTTCTTTCTGATTGTTTTAAAGATGAGAGCAGAACTAACAGACATCCCATCTCCCCTCATTTCATGATTTAATTTCTCAATAGTCTTGCACCATTATCATGTGGCCAATTTCCTGTGAAATAATTTCATCTTGCCTTCCAGAAGCATCATTTCCCATCTTATTCAATGGTTGTGATTCCCTCAGACTCTGAAAAATCAGTCCAGTCTCATAGCAAGATGGTGTCTGAGTCTGAACATTCAGTAAATAGTTACAGGAATGAGAAGTGTAGCTAAGAAGGCAAGCATTCCAACAGTTTTTGGGCAAGATGGGATCCACTTCCTTGAAAAAAAAACTAGTGTACAATATGCACAAGAGGAGTGTACATATCTTTGCTCCTTGGACCATATAGGAATCTTTGGTAGGGAGATGTGTAGAGCAATTGCAAGCCAGCTCTTGCAAAATAATTTACGCTGAGCAATCAGTGTGTGCAAGTTTGGGGTACGGCCCTTGCTTGCTACCTTGTCAGGCAAGCCCAGGACTTTGTTAAGTTTAGCAAAAAAAATTGTTGGTGAAATAACAAAAATTTCACACTGGAACATAGCTTGTTTGTTGGTATATTTACTAGGAGCTATCCGGCCCCGGAGACCTGATGAGCTGACACCCCGAGTTGTCTCTGGATCTCCACGGGTATTTCTTGGTCTCGCTGAGGTTATGTATCGGTCCGTAGCGGGCTCTGTGTAAAACGATGTTTTCATAACTACAGTTGTATCTAATTTCTCTCCGCTGAGCTCATGATTGCTGACTTCACTTTAATCAAACACTTCACAACCCATCAACGATAATATGCCCAATATTCTTAGTCCTCAATGGGCTACGACCTCAATGTTGGCTGACGATGATGATGATGATGATTGGCAAGAGGTCAGTTTCTGTATCAATTCACCATTTTTGGCGAACTCATTCATTTTCAATGTCTTGGTCCTTCATATGTTCTCAGATGCCCGTTATTCGTTCAGATAGTACAGACCTCGATGATGAGGACAAGAAGAAGTTTAGATACTTAGCCCCCGAAGTTCGTCAATCTCAATCAACTCCCACCACTCGAAACTTTGCATCCAATGCTACTGGACAATTACTAGATTTATCAGAAGCTGCAGCTTCAAGGGGTGAAGATTGGCGGGAGAAATCTCATAAAGTCGAAGAATCAAATTATACACGAGTTGGTTTAGATGATGATCCTGAAGAGGATAACCTCAATATGCGAACTCAATACTTATTTGATGACGAGAGAGGAATGACTCCCCTGAATCAGATGCAACAAACCAAGACCTTATTGACAGAGGGTCAACGAATAGCATACGTAGGACTATGTCGACTTGTGATGAAGGAAATGATTCAAGCTTTGAAGCGAGGTGGACATGATGAGATGGCGCCAGCAGTCGAAAGCATGTCACATTGGTCAACGAAAATTATCAGTCGACTCTATCAACATATGGATGTGGAGCCAAAAGGTGATTTCCTAAGAATTTGATGATTTCCACTCGTTCGTAAGGTTGATGCTTATTAATATGTGTATATTTTACATTCATTTTTTAACTTGGCTATCCTATTCATCTACACGTCAATCAGAACAACAAATGATCGAACAATTGGCTGAACATGGCGTCTCAGCTGATGACCTCGTTCCTTCTCTGATCACCACACATACCGTACCTAATCCGACTTATGATCCCTCAGCCACAAACGAGGATCTGGGAGCCGAAAGATCCAAGCTCGAGGAGTTGAAGCTCGAAGCCGACCGAACTCGTCAAGAAGATGTCCTTCAAAACAATCTCAAGGAGTCAGACTCTCGGTCGCGGAGTAGCCTCGAAGATGCATGGGCCACAAAGGAAGTTGGGGGTATGTATGGATCTAGTCCTGTGATCGGTTCTTTGGTACCACCTAAGGCTTTCAGTCCATTTGGCGATGGAAGCGACGAAAATTTAACGCAAGCCTCGACATGGGCGAGTAGCTCAAACAACACAATAAGAACAGATAAGCCGTCGTCATTTTCCAAATTCGGTGCTTCAATACAAGACGATGACGATGACGGCGACATCGGTGATGCGCTCTCAACACCAACACCTAAAGCTCGCCCAACAAATGGTGTCCCTATTGAACCTGATCCAGCTGTTACAGGAGAAAACACTAACGAAACACAGCCATCATCTGACAACCCCAACTTGATTGCGCCACTTCCTCATACACTTCCTGGTGTCTCGACTACTCTAACAGCAGCTGACGAAACAGTCACACTCGATATCAGATGGACCGTTCTCTGTGATCTGTTTTTGGCGGTGATTGCGGACAGTGTCTATGATGCGCGGTCAAGAGTGTTAATCGGTAGATGTGCCCACAAGTTGAATTTATCATGGATGGATGTAGTACGCTTCGAAAGACGATTGACAGAAGCCCTAGAAGTACAAGAAGGTATCAGCAAAGCGGATCACACGGATGTCATCGAGGCGCACCAAAAACAGTCACGAAACAAGCGACTACTAATGGTAGGTGCTGCGACCATTGGTGGTGGACTTGTAATTGGTTTAAGTGCTGGTCTGCTGGCTCCTGTCATTGGAGCCGGACTTGCAGCAGGATTCACCACAATCGGTATCGGTGGTACCTCAGGCTTCTTGGCTGGTGCGGGTGGAGCAGCGGTAATTACGACGGCAGGCACGGTCACTGGAATGAACATTGCTGGCAAAGGGATGGGTAAACGAACTCAATCTGTCACGACTTTTCAGATCTTGCCTCTTCACAACAATGGAAGGGTAAATGTGTTTTTAACGATGTCCGGGTGCGTGTCATATCTGCCTCTCTGTGTTTCGTCTCACTCGTCAAATATGGCCTGGTTGGCCACGTATCCATTACTGAAACTCATTTGGTCGATTTTTTTGATCATCTCACAAACTTTATGATTCCTATACACCTCGAAATCGCTATGCAAACATTCTCTTGGTCAAGAAGAGCAGATTCATGGAAGGCGCCAATGATGACGTGCGATTACCATTTAGCGTGATGGACCAGTCGATGGGAGATGTACTGTCAATACTATGGGAACCACAGATGATGGGCGAGACTGGAAACATCATTCGGATCTTAACATCCGAAGTTTTGACTCAAGGTGTTCAGCAAGTCTTACAAGCCACAGTACTGACAGCTTTGATGAGCGCGCTTCAGTGGCCGTTGATGTTGACAAAACTTGGCTACCTTATCGATAACCCTTGGTCGAATGCACTCGACCGAGCTCGAGCAGCTGGAGCAGTACTAGCGGATGTGTTAATTAAACGACATGTGGGTGTGAGACCAGTGAGTCTTATCGGGTTTTCACTCGGTGCGCGGGCCATCTTTTATGCACTAGTGGAACTTGCTCGTAAGAAGGCATACGGAATCGTTCAAGAAGTCTATCTTCTCGGAGCTACTGTCACTGCACCTACACGAACTTGGAGGGATGTAAGGGGGATCGTAGCTGGTCGATTTGTTAACGGATATTGCAAGAGGGATTGGATTTTAGGATACCTCTACCGTGCTACAACTGGTGGATTGAGAACTGTGGCCGGACTTGGTCCGGTTGACTCCGTCCCTGATCTCGAGAATGTGGACTTGACGGAAATTGTGGTGGGACATATGAGTTATCGAGCGCAGATGCCTGTCATTTTGGAAGAACTTGGTTTTCGAGTCACCGCCGATCACTTTGATGAACCTGAAGCTATGCAAGAGGATGATGAACCAGAGAAAGAGACATCGACACAAATTAAAACAGTCAAAGAAGCAGAAGAAAAGAAACGGATGATCCTTGGTTTTACTAAGAAATTGAAATCTGCGGCTCCTAAGACGACGAAATCGAGTAAATCAAAGAATGAAAAGAATGAAGATCAACCTGAACGAATGGAAAAGTCAGACAGTCGGACTAAAGTCACATCACCTTCATCAAAATCGCAATCAGATTCGGCGCCATATCAGTCATTATCGGCTGAACGAGCCGGATCTAGTACATCAGAATCCGATGACGATCAAGCAGCTACACCTAAAGCAGATTTCGTTCATACGTTTGATGTACGGGCCATTAAATCACAATTAGCTAAATCAGGACTTGATGATAGTAGTGGATGGAATCAAAAAAGTAATGAAGGAACATCTAAATGGAATCAAACTTCTAGATCACAATTTTGGACTAAGAATGAGAATTCCACCGGGTCATCAACAAGTTGGAAAGAATCAGATCCTTGGAAATCTTAAAGGTTACGATTTGCCACTTCTACTGTTCCCTCTGTTGACTCTTTATGACTTTGTAAGTATACATGATGAAATAACGTTTACCCTTTTTCATCTTTATTTTTCAATTTGCTCATTTTTATTCAATTTGTCTTTGATTTTTGATTTGAGGGTTCTTTTTATATTTGACAATTGAGGTATGATCAATGATGTATCGTACCGATTGATTCTTACAATCTCAATTATTTTTCACAATTGACCCATTTTTGATGCCTTTAAGATTTCGATTTTGGATTTCATTGTCTTATGATTCTCCTGCGAAGAGAGGATTGCAGTTTTCCGTTGTTTTGAAGTCGTTGATTATTGTTGTGTTTTAGAAATTTATATATTGAGATTCGTAATTTCGTCGAAATACTCTTTGCCAGCTGTTTATAAAGTTTTGTATTTGTTTCTTTGCAACAAAAAACATTTTTAATTTCTCGACTTGCTACATATTTATATCAATTCACCTGCCAAGTTTACTCGTAGATATCACCACATTCTGAGACTATTGGACCTGTTAAGAGACTTGCCTCATAAACAAGCCTTGGGATTCAACATATATATTGCCATCATTGAAGAGCTTTGAATTAACTTTGGACCAAAAGCTTTCTTTCTGGTAACACCTTTGAAGAAAATCTACTCCTTCCCGGGGTTCACTGCGACTTTCACTTCAGTTCGACGATGACTCATACAAATCTGGGTTCCCTTTTCATTGACACTCGAAAGGTCAGAAATCTTTAGCTCAATAACCTTATTCTTTCAGTATACGGTGTTCCATCGGGGATATGGATAGAGGCGAGAACGTTATACCCCTCGAGAAGCCTTGGGATCCCTTCTGTCAAAAAAGAACCGAGCTACATGACGGGTTGAATAAGAAACATGAGAAGGCACACTCCAGGTTATTTTTAAAAAAAATGCGAATTGCTTGATATTGTACCATTATCCAAAGTCTTGAAAGTCAAGCAATTCACACTCTTGTAAGAACAGGGACTTGGGGTGTCACCACAAGGTTCTTATCAAACCCGTCAAGCTGTTCAATTCCTTTATGATATGGGGGATCTTGAGGCTTTTTGAGGTTTATGACGTGCTCTACTCTAGCATGCGATCCTTGCCATATTTCCGATGGAAAATGATAATCCGAATTAAGAATGATTGAGGACCAATCTACTATTTTTAATCAAAAGAACTCAATGTATCAAACGAGCATTGAGTCACATGCCCAGGCACCCTCTCTTGCGTCGGAGAACGAGGATAATCCCCTGGAACAGACATTGTCTATTGTGCTATAAGATTGCCCGAGCTTTAATCAGTAACTTTGACAGAAAGAATGATTCTTAGAATGAGAACTCATCAAGTGAGTCATATCTTCAGTCCACTGTTTGAGACATGCGAAAAATATTGGACGCGTGCAGAGAGCTCCTGAAACGGTTTGCCACACCTTCAAGATAGACCAGAAGGATGAAATAGATGACCACTTAACAAAAGAAAGAGAAACCCCATTCTCTTCAGCGTAAACTAACAAGACAATGAAGCATTAATCATGCCGACTCAAACAGGATCAATCGCAAACGTTTCCACTTTGCATCCCTTGATACGCGCCGGAGAAATAAGAGATAGCTTCTCCGGAAAAGTATGTAGTCAGAACTGAGTTGTTCTACCTTCATTACCACAATTTTTAAACCCAGTTTTAGTGTTAAACCAGAGAACAAGCAAAATCTAGCTCGACGTCAAGCCTGACTATGTCTAGGATCTAAGCAGCACTCGTCGGCTAGAAGATTCAGTGGTCTCGAGAATGGGAAGACTGCATATGAACCAGTTTCTTGGCTGAACAACTTTGAACTATGACGAGGTAGTTCCTTCACCGTTAGATCACGAATAGTCCGAAGCCATAGCGTTATAGCAGGACGCAATAATTCCCATAGCCGTTGAAAGCACAATTCCTGAAGGCAATTGGACGGTGCTCATCCTGGTAGCGGTCGAAGACTTGTTACTGCGTGGTTGCAATTGTTGGGTGTAAGACGGTTGGGCTTTTGTCATGGATGGTGAACCTGAGGGTATCAATGCGGCGGTATTTTTGCCCTGCTTCGTTAGTTCCCTTCATCATCGACATCATCACTCGTATTTGCACAATATCAATCTTATCCATCATCCATCCTGTCTTCTCGCATCACCACACATAAAACCTCTCCAATATCAAAATGCCTCAACTCACAGCACTCACTCAGTCCGCCTTGAAATCGCTCCAAAAGAATCTTTCTAGGCCTTCGAAACCTGGTCAGTCCGCATAAAGAGCCACTCTTGATCGCTAGATAGCAACAAATAATTCCAGGGGACTACGCCTTCTGACTTGAGATTTTGTTTATCTTTGGCACTTCAAATTAGAAGCCACCACTTTTAAAATAATCAACTTTGCAGGAGATGATGACGAATCAGATGTTGCATCAACGGTGATATTGACAGAGGAACAAATCAAACGAGAGCTTTCAGAGACGGTGCCTCGTCAATCTCCACCTCGTCAATCACTATCCCCACCTCGTCGATCACTTCGCCTCATGGCTAAGGAAAACAAAGTGTCGAGAAGCCCATATAAACGCGACGCAGGGGTCACTATTCTCAACTCAGACAAAGGACCGATGAAAGCCCGTTCAGCTAAGAAATTTGCCACGAAGAAAGGACGAAGGGTATCCCGCGCGAGAGGAAAAGGCACCTCTTCCTAAATTCTGTCAGCGCCAGCCCGTAAGACACATTCTCACACACATTAATTGGAATATCGACTGATCATTATACTTTACCTTTGATTTTGATCAATTTTCGAAGAATTTTCAAGAGCCTCATAGGCGGTGTCTTGTTGGGTTATTTTTCGATCATTTAGTCCTATAGGCATACTTATATCATCAAGTCGCTAAGATATAGCACAAATTAAACCGTTGATTTGAGGCTGAGCTGAGAGGAATAAGCCAGCCTTTGTCCGTTTATCAAACATCTTATTCTAATGCATTGCATCATGCATACCTATCCAATCATGGATGATCTATCTTGAATGAGACTGCAAGTATGCATGGAGACTGTGTCAACTTTCTTTGAGGGCAAGATTTTGCCTCAGGATTGTGAAGGCCAAACAACTCCGCAAAGCTCAGAAAGATGTACACGTCCCCTTTCTTTTTAAAAAGTGTGAGGTTGCTTAATTGCATATCATACTATCTAAACAACTAAAACACGTAATCTGATTTCAAAAAAATATGCATATTTTACAACAATGGGCAAGTTATTTGTTGTAGCGTATAATTGTAAAAGAAGCCAACTTGAAACGCCCCCAGTGTCAATTTGGGTTGTTTCCACATCCCCATTCCAAGGTGGAAGGTAAAAGGCCTAGGGATTGTATGTTCTGTTGGAGATGTTTATCATTTGCAATGGTTCCCTTGCAAGTTCTTACAAATGCTTACAAATGCAGGGAATTGAGCAACAGTGACAGAGTTTTGCAGACTCATCCCCAATATGAGGTGGCAGGAAAGCAACACTAAAATGTGTATGTGATATCTTTGTTTACCAATCATGACAACACTCTATGTTTGATTCTGAGGTGAGATGAAGGATTATAATTTATCACGGCGGACTGAGGTATTTTTGTTTCGATGCAATCGAGAATCATTGCTTTGGTGGTGATTCGACGGTGACTGGATCAGAGGCTTGAAATCAGGAAAGCCGATCCGACCCGGCGGGTCTTCCGCTCCTGGGACATGGTCAACAGCCTTTTGCTGAGGAACTGAATCGCCATCGTCAAAGTTCACCACAGACCTTCTCTCGAAGAACCCTTGACAAATTGGATGATGATAATCAACCGAGCCAAGTCTCTTATCAAACCTTGAAAAAGCAATCAATCAGCTCATGATAGTCTGAACTTGCCCTCGGCGAATCTCCTGAAGACTTCGTCTCAAGCTCATTTCCAAGCAAGCTCAAGCCGCCTATTTCACAATGGCATCAGGTCATTCCGCTCCGTCATCGTCATCATCAATTCCAAAGCCAACAGTCAAGGGTCCGGCTCTCCATCAAGTATCGTCAATTGCTTCACTGCGACCGAGTAATCAAACCCCTCACGCTACGCTTTCTTCGGCGTCCGTTGATAAAACCAGTGCCTTTGCAGAACAAGGCGAAGTCAAATCTGGACGAGCACTCAGTGTAAGCAGACGAGCGAGGGATGATTGGATTGTCAGTGGTCAGGAGAAAGGTAAGTTTGAGATTGTCTGATCGAAAAAACTGAGCTGGTGCGTAGGCCTTGGTGCGATGGGACTGATTGATCCCTCTTGACACTGTTGCAGCTTTGTCGTCCGATAGCAAATTTCGAAAATATGCCGCCTTGGTGGAACGCACCTTACTCTCGATCGATCAAGTCAACGAATGGGCTGACTTTATCACCTTTTTAGCCAAATTGCTCAAAACTCTTCAATCTCATCCTCAATATTCCATCATTCCTCATAAACTGATAGTAGCCAAGAGACTCAGCCAGTGTCTCAATCCTGCTTTACCTCAAGGTGTTCATCAACGAGCATTGGACGTTTACGAATACATCCTTACAACAATCGGGTCGGACGGTCTCAGAAGAGATTTACAAGTTTGGAGCGCTGGGCTGTTTCCGTTCTTTCAGTATGCGGCTACGGCTGTACGAGTTAAGTCTATCGACGATTCTTCACTCGAGATATCTTCGTGGGTCAATTTGCTTGAAGGAGTTGAACATTGATGGTCCCTCGCGATTGCCACAGCCAATAGTTCTGGGTCTTTACGAGAAGCATTATCTACCGTTAAAGGCAGACCTCCGACCAGCTATCAAGGCTTTCATTTTGGCGGTTTTACCTGGATTGGAGGAAGAGACCGGTGAACACTTTGAACGAGTGTGCTCCCTGTTAGATCAACTATCAGGCGCAGTATCACTATCATTCTTCTTGCAAAATATGTGGTTGATCTTGATAACTGGGCCGGGTTACCGGATATCAGCTATCAACTTTTTGTGCCGAAGAATGCCTCAATTTGAACCTGATCGAAGCATATCACCAATAGTGGGTGAAGACGTGGGATTGATGGTACGAGGATTCGCCGCTGCGCTCGAGGACAGCAATATCTTGGTCCAACGAGGTATATTGGACTTGATACTGAATCATGCAAGGCTCGACAGCCACGGATTTATCCAGTTGGTGATCTCGCTTTAGTTTATGTCTGTATTTTGTGCCGTTTTTGACACTACCGCCAATTGATGCTCTTCAATTGACAGTGACACTCGACATCTTGACCAGCTCTTACTTACGCGGGCCGCATTGGGGGTAGTCCTCCGAAGAGATTTATCCTTGAGTAGGCGGCTGTACACTTGGCTTCTGGGTCCTATTCCAGCTACCGAAGAACCCGCAGGCCAGCAGCTCAACTACTTTAGAAAATACGGATTGGCTCTGGTCACCGAATCTTTGAGAGAAGACATGCAAGCGGAGTATGTTGATCTGGTCGTCGAACGGCAAAGGCCTTTCAAAATTTTCATCGCTCTACTTGATAAATGGGAGATTGGAGGACCCATCACCGAAGCTTTGGCGTTGGACGCTTTCAGGGCATTGAAAGGAATCTTAAAGCCAGGCGACACACAAGATGAGGTAAATCTACCTTTATTGTCTCTTTCCTTCCACCGATACAGTACATAGTGGTTATTCAATGATCAGTAAGCTTGCAGCTGTTGTTAACCGCCAATATGTTATTCGATGCGCTCGACCCGCACACCACCTGGAAAACGTTGTTTATGTCTGCCCACACCTATGCATTATCGGATAGACCTACCTCAGATGTGAGTTTTGGATGCTGTATCATAGCGAAGGAGCTGATCTTGACTCATAGCATGGTTGTGTAGAGTCTATCATTGATCAGGTTCATCCTCAAAACATTTCGCATCAATGACGAGGAGCTCATCCGAATACATATACCACTCATGGCATTTGTGCTCATCGATATAGTCGATACATGCAAGCTGGAAGGCTCTAAAATACCATTGTTGCAACATGAAGCACTACAAGTCGCTGGGACGCTGTTACAAGAGGTCCCCATCAAAATAGATGAGAATGAAGCCGATGAAGCCGATGTATTAGCCTCAGACTTGTCCAACCTACAATTGGCTCAAACATTCTATGCGGCTAACACCTTCAAGGAGGTCGATCATGGCTGCATCGCCCGCTTGAAACACCGCAAATTTTACACAGCTGGACTGTCAGCCACTCTGCGTATTGTTGCCGATATCGCTTCAAGGCCTTCGGCGGAAAAGCGGTTTGAAATACTCGACGCAGCACTCGACGTGTTGGAAGCTCTTCTTCAATCAATCCAAGCTGCCCATGTTCGCATGGAGCTCGATTGGAAACCGCAAGCTTGGGCGCCTCCTGTTCTTGACTGCCTGCAAGCGTTGGCTATTGATGTAAGATATTTGAGTGTACAATCATTGCGACAAAGCCACTGACAAATGACTAATGTTACCAGGCCAGTGGTTTTGCTTCCACTGAGAGGTTGGTCCGCGTGATGCTGAAACTTTCAGACCAGACCAGCATTTCCCCGGCATTCCCAATAGACTCCCGTACCGCACTATCTGTAATAATCGGCAAAGTGTGTGATTGGCTTCTCAGCGAGTCTTCTGACGGTGATTAGAGATTTCTGCGCAGGGCACTGACAAGAGTTATGCGTGACATATAACTAGTTGCTCGACTTTTTACAGCGGCATGCGGCTCCATTTTTCCTACAGGCCGTGAAGCTCATCTGGGATCTCAACAAATTGTCCAAGTTTAGGCATGTGGAGGGAATTATCACTTCCAGGCTATCCTCTCGAGACCCAACCACCCGAGAGCTAGCATTTGAAGCGTTCGGCAATTTGTGGCGATACACAGGTAAGATCATTATCAACGCTAGGTGGGCACGATGACTTTTCAAGCTGAGAATATCTTCTTACAGACGACGTTCAGCTTCCGGGGGCATGTCTCAGAATCCCAATGTTGATGGTGCTAGACAGTCTCAAGGATGACAACCTGGTCAATCGCCGCTGTGGGGAAGCATGGATGCGATGTAGCCTAAAGTCGTACCTTCGGTAAGCACAATCAATTGATGCCACTTACCGCGCTAGCACGTGAACTGATATATGGTTCTTAGTGTGCTTGATCCTCTTTTCATCACTTTAATTTCTTCGGAAATAAAACGATCACCGACCACCATCACACTCGGAGATCGCACCTTCTCCATTTTTCACTATACTCACCCATTCAATCAAGCTGCAGTCAACCACGCCTTGGAGTGTGTGTTGACTTTGGCGCGTTTCGGCGGGCATGGTTTTACTCGGATTGCTAAGACATGTTATATGAAGCACTCGCATGATCCAGTGTTGCGAAAACTGTTAGATGCTGGTGAGCCTTTTGTATCTTGTCATGGGCCTTAGTGAGTGAGCTTACCTCTGCCGTTCACCAGCTGGGCTGAACGCCGCCACATATTTGGACGGCTTAGTTAAAGTGCTGATTATGTGAGTCCAGGCGTGATATCAATATATTGGCCCTCATCTAAATCCGACGGCTCCTTTCTTTGCAGGTACATCAACAGTGATCCTGCGCCTAGATTGACTCCAGCAATGGAGGCTTTGAACCTTCTCATTCACGCCACGATATCTGATATCTTACAAATGATTGTCTCTCGAGGTGACCTGACCGGGTCGGATTTAGCCATGTTCGAAGATACGCTTAGTAATCGCTTGTTAATATCAATTCGAACCTCAGAATTGAATCTTCAAAACAAATTTTTACATGCGCTTCACGCCATCATCAGCGCGGGCTCAGCATCATCATCTCAATCATTCCGCAATGATTCTCTCGAGATTGGGCGTAGTAATGACAGGGCCGCGCAGTTGTTTACTATTGTGGTTGGTGATGGAGTTACAACTCAACGCAACAGCGCTGTGGTCCATCATTGGATTGATTTTTTGCTGATGACAATTCCACAATTCCGACGATCACTCGATGATGTAGTCAATCCACTGATTGATCGACTAGTGGGCCGTCTACGCACGTTGATATATGACATGATGACGACATATCATGATGACTCTCATGACAAACCAATGGCTTCCGAATCTACCGACTCGGATTTTGCTGTATTTGTCAATGCTCTAGAGCGCTTGATGGTAGTTTTGATTGAAGGAGGCGGTGTCAACACGGGCGGAGGTGACGGGACTGCCAATAAAGGTAGTTCCGAGCGTCTCATGTCCGTCGAATCAAGTGCAGGCTTGTTTGCTGGTGTGTTTGGAGTTTTGGGTGCATCTGAATCAGCCGCACAGCTCCCACATGAACGAGTAAGTCGCGAATCCTTAACTAGAATCACAAAGGGGTTCAAAACACGTTAAGAACATTTCCAAACCATAGATTCATTTGCCTCAACTGACCATGTTACCTCAATAGCCTAAAACCGACTTCCAAGTGCGGCTTGGGACCGCTACTTCTGTCCTCTTGAAATCGTGGGATATTGGCATCAGTATCAGTGATTTGAATGAGGCTGAATCGTCCAGCTCGAAAGCACACTTCGCTTCTCGCATCAAAATCAGAGCTCGAAAGGCGTTCGAGCGGCTTTACAAGGCCGTGCCCAACGAGGTTCTCGAATCCATCATTGACCATTGGAGCTCCGAGACAGCATCCTATTCCACGGTGGGCCCTTCATGTGTATTCACAGTCGGAGACCCAAGAACGTTGATCCAGTCCACTTATCTCTCTGATCCGACAGGATTCTTCAACGGAAGATCATTTGTTCGTCTTGTTAGATCATCTAGCACCAAGTGCTCAAACCATCGTGACCATGCTGTATGAGCGACTTTCTGCCTATGGTCACTTGTCACAATCCGATCGTGGGAAGGCAGTTGCTTCAGCCAGCTTTTTGTAAGCATTTCTTTCGACTGGTACTCTAGTCGAACTTATCAATACCCAATACTCAACAATATCTTGCTTCAACCAGGCCGGAGAGTGTCTTATTTGCCTTCTTGGAGGCTTATCTATCAAGGCTTGAAGGGCCCATCGCTGTACAGATATGGACCATCTCCCTGACGTTTGTTCGTGACGTACTGGCTAATCCGACCATGACCAAGGGTCAAACATTTCCAACACTCAAGTACGTTTGTTTTCCAGGCTCGCGCGTAGCTTGTTGCTTTCATTGATTAACTGTGAGGGCGTGTTATTTTTCGTTCTGTACGGCGTAGGTGTTTTTCCATTCTCGCTGACAAGATCAGTCAAACAAGTGCACTTGAAGACAGACGTATGCGACGAGATCTTCAGGTAATTAATTTCATGAATACACCTCATGAAATATTGACCAGACAATGAATTATCGGTTGAACATCCCTAGGACACGTTTGTCAAATTATGTGACGTCAGTGTCCAAGGTGCTGGGAAGCATCTGGAGCAAAATAAATTAAGAGCGCCGGACTCTATTGGTCAGTAGCTGGTCACCATGAGTTCAAAGCGGTTCCTGAATAAAATTTCTTGCAGGTGACCACCCCTCGCCGGCTGTTGAAGAAGATATGCTGATATCCCCAGTACCACCAAGTATAATACATGACGAGAAGAAAGGTGTAGATATTGAAAAGCCCGCCACAGCTAGTGAAGTTAGTACACATTCACATTCCGTTGACCATCTTTCCATTTGGCGTATGTATATAAAACCTTCTCTGACATCAGCACCTACTTTGGTATTTTCTTTTTTGTCAGATAACAACATTCATGTCCGAAAAAGCTCTTCCTGGTTGTCGCAGGTTTCTCATCGAGCATGAAAAACTGTATGCCATCTGTGTAAACATAATATATTACATAATCACGCCTGCATTCAAGTCTCGGTCTAGGCAAGTCTCTTTTTTACATTATACTGAAGCTTGAATTCGAATCAGATGTTATTCTGACCCCAGTGCACTACTCATCTACAGAACGTCTGAAGTGGATGGTACAATTCTCGATCTCCTCATCGAGATGACCAAGCATTCTGCCGCAGCTAAAGCATGGCGCGCACATGTGACGGAAACATTTGGGGATCCCAAATTTTTCAATTGTTCGCCTGAGACTGGACGGCGATGGAAACTGATTATCCAGGCCCTGTTGAATACTGACAAGGAGCGATTTACGGAAATGCTGAGCCGGCTCACCACAGCGCCGTCCTCTAACATCTTCACCAATAAGGAAATGGAGATGGTTACTAGATCACTCAACCTCAGGCGCATCACTTATGCCATATACGCGGCGGAATACAATCGGTTCCTGGTGCACTTGCCCAGTATACAGGAGAAGGTGGTGGATTTGTTAAGATCTAATGTTGGTGAGATAGTACACGCGGAAGTAAGTCGAGATCAACACACTTCTTCGTCCATTTCCCTTCGTCCATTTCCCTTAGACATTGATCAGATTCTTCGAGAGAAAGGTCGGTTGACTCGGTAATAATTTTGATGTTGAGATTTTCTTCTGAAACTTAGGTCTATCTATGTATGCGAGTGTTATTGTGTCGGATCGCCAATCAGCACCTAGGAGGATTTTGGCCTATCATCTTGACCGAATTGGTATGTTGAGAAATGGTCTTGCGATTATTTTCTGCGAGGCGATCGTTCTGATTCATGCTTGTAGACGCGACTGTTTGAAAGCATGATTGAGAACACGCCCTATTCGCCCCACTTTTTGGCTTTGGCACTCTCAGCATCCAAGTTTCTTGACTTGCTTCTAGTCTTGCAGACTGAGGACTTTCAAATGTAACTCACTTTCAAGACCTGTTTTAAGGCCTTCGGGAGACTGACACAATTTGGTTTTGCATCTCCGTCTGGTTCGCCGGCTTTGGCCGCACCTTTCTCCATCTACTTTCTCAGACACCAATGGATGTTCATTACCGATACAGTCGACGCTATATACCCTCCCGATCCCTGGTTTCCGCATGCGATCATAGATAGGCTAGCAAGCACACTCAATGAACGCAGCAGTCTACCTGTTGATCGTCCAAGGTCATCATTGATCATTCCATCGCAAGTCTCGCCTCCGATCTTTCGTTTGATCAAACCACATCTCTCGCGGCAAGGCTCGTCGACCAGCCTGAGTTCCCGAGTTGGTGGCTTTCCAGGTCGAGATGAACTCTTATCACCAGCAGTGGTGGTAGGTCGACGACCTTTGTTGAGCCGGACGAAGAAAATTGATAATGTCGGGCCATTGGAACGGTTCTTTTCAAAAATCAGTCTAACAAATTATGAAGCATGTTACGCAGGCGGTGTAGTCGATTGGGATGAGGTTGAAGTGGATCTAGAAGTTGATCTTTTTGATGGAAAAGATTGAACCTAGTGTGGATCAAATTGGCTTGGAGACGTGGGTCGCAGTTTACTTTTATTGTGTGAAGTTTCGACTCTTGACTTGCCATGTGAGAGTAGATTGTGAGAAATCGCCTTCCTATAGATATTCTTTTGGTCGCCTCTCTTTTGGGTATGTCATATAATCTATCTCTTCAGAAGAAAATAGAAATTGTTCAAACTTGTCCATCGAGGTAGTACATATCTTTAGATATGAAGCTGTAATAGTATCATCATCAAATTGATCGAATTTGAAAGGATATTGGTGTATGCACCGTAGCCCAGAAAAAGATGGACATGGGTTATTGGGGAAGATTAATTCTCAGCTGCTTTCACCTCACCAACATAGTTGACAAATCTTATCAATACGTAGAAACAATTACACCATATAATTCTCACCCCAGCACTTTGATTGAGCACCTTAGGTGGACATGACCAAAGCCAGAGCTTCAGCCATCCCCTTCTGCTCAGGTCATCGGGCTTGAAACACGCTTACTCCATGGAAGGCACCCCAAGCTTAGTCAATTGAGGAGCTACAGTCACTCAGGCCAATTGATCAATTGTTGTCAATAAGTGCCACTCTTGTTCCTGATCAAACAAAGGGAGAATGGAATGGATTTCTTTGGCTATCCGCATTGATGTGGTCTTTTGATTGGTAGTTTGGGTATCAGAACTCAACAGTAAAAAGAATCACCCAATTTGTATGTTTGATCTTTATGTTTTAAGTGGAGGGTGTGATGCCAAAAAAATCAAAGCTCAACTGTACACAAAAAGAAGAAAGCTGATCTTCAATCATTTCACTTTTCTTATGATAAAAAAAAGTCAAGTTGATTTGGAAACAACACAAATGCATCTTCTTTGATAGAACTTTCTGATTTGGAAAGATAAACCAAATTCAAATTTCTTTACCTTGTAAAGATGGCCAAGTAGCTATGATTTCCAAAATGACGTAGAAATTGAATGTCCAATGGATCATGTCCTGCATGTTTCAACCCATAAGTTTTATGAGCTACAGATGCTGGATGTTGGGTTGGTTAGCAAACATCTCCATATGAATTTGATCTCGAACACAATTTACATAATAATGATCAGTACATATACCAAGCCATCTTCATCAAAATATTTCTCAGAACACCAGAAACTTTGTTCTTTCAAATACTCACATACACCTTTGATTGGTTGAATTGAAGAGCTCAAACAATTTTTGGGATTTACTAAGATTGACAAGAAAGGGATGTCCCAAATGATATGTTGAGGATCATCTTTGAAGTGGACCAAAAAGCCCTTAATTGTGTCCTCAATGGATCACAGCACACTCATAGAGCCAACAAGGAGCGTGGATTCAAGGATTTGCAATTTTATGCCGTGCAGCATGGTCACACATTGTGCGAGTCGGGCACTTTGATAATGGTCTTGCGACAGTCCTCGGGGTCGGGTTCCACCTAGCTGTCAAGATGAGAAAAATTGACCGGGTGACAAGACGAAGTGATTTGAATTTTTTGACCCGGTTGCGGATCCACCATGACCAACTCATCCTTACCAGCTACACTTCATCATTCTTCAGTCGATCAATCAAAGCAATCTTTAATCCCAGGGACCGCTTCTACCAGCCATGCTACTTTGGTGATAGGCACGAATGACTCTAGCATTGTCAGTAAAAGAAGTGCTGAAAGATTGGGCTATTTCAATCAAGTTCAACACTTGAGGCATTTCGTTTCCAAACCACGTCGAAGAGCTCCTTTGATCAACCTTGGCTATGCTATCCGTACTATCTTCGTGGATTTAATCATCCGAAAGTTCTTGGATACTCATCAACGACCCGATGCCTCTCCACCCGATTCATCAATCGTGATTGTCAATTTGGGATGCGGCTATGATCCTGGATTTTTCAAGTTGGCTTCTTCCGATGACAACTCGATGCGCTTTCATTCAAATCTGCTATATGTTGATACAGATTATCCGGCTCTAGTCAAGAAGAAACATGCAATGATTAGTCAATCCCCCGAGTTGAGCGCCGTCTTGCCAGGATTCTCCAAAATCGGTCCTGGTAATTTCGTGACCGCGTCAAATGAAAAGATGTCATACGCGTTGCTTGGGTGTGACCTCTGCGATACAAAGTCATTCATTGATTCTCTTACAAAATTATTGGGTAAATCAAACAAGCCGATCCTGTTCATCTCTGAGGTCTCCACGGTTTATATGCCAGCCGACAAATCTGACCAGCTTCTCGCCGGTCTAAGTTCTACATACCCAAGAGCGGTGTATGCTTGTTTGGAACAGGTCTTGTACCCTTCTCCAACTGGGTTTTCAGATACTATGTTTGCACACTTCCACAAGCTACAGACTCCTTTGAATGGGACCATGAAGTATCCGACCATCGAGGATCAGTCGAAGAAGTTGAGAAGTCTTTGGAAAACCGTAGAGATTTCTACGCTTCTGGGCTTGTGGAACAGGATGGACGATTTCCCACAATCCGCACACGAAAAAACTCGATTACTTCGAGTTGAAGAATTTGATGAATGGTGCGTCATGTTGACGTAACAATCAATTCCGGTTCATCCTCATACTGCCAAATTGACTCAAGTTTGCTTTTCCAACAATATAGGGAAGAGCTGGATTTTTTCCTCTCGCATTACCTGATTGCAATCGCGTCTTCTGACGCGGATCTTATGGCGGCCACTTACGAGAATCTTTCCAAGGTCAATTTGCCGCCTATGCACGGCCGAGCGTCGATAAGCTCATCTCAAGTAGGAAATGTGAATGGGAAGATAAAGGCGGCATCCGCGTATACACGACTGATGCAGTGCATCATACAACGGAGGGGACACACTACTAGTGCACTTTTGAATGGCAGTCAATTTGTTTTCGGAGGTTATGGGCTACCTTCTGCCACAGGGCCCAAAGTGAACCTCACGCACTCTCGTTTATCTCACCCGATGATGATGATTCCAAAGTCAAATAATCCCCTAGAGTTCACATTGGAAAATGTACCCATTACGACATCCACACCCTGCGCCAGGATGTATCACATATCTCTACGTTTCGAGCGGAACAAAATCGAGTCTTCATTGATCTTCGGCGGACGCACTTCTCCACGAGCGCCACTCAACGACCTTCATGTCTTTGAAGTCGAGTCAAGGAATTGGAGCTCAATCCAACCGGAGGCTTCGGAACCTTGGCCAGAACCTCGGTATCGACATGCCGCAGTCCTTATAAACCCTGAAGGCAAACACCAGCTTTGTTTGGTACATGGTGGTATAGGCCGAGGCGGTGTAATCCTGTCGGATACTTGGATATTGGATTGTAACCTGCTCAAATGGACACGTGCCTCATCTTTGGACAGGTTGATTGGCCCACGTCATTCCCACCAAATCTGGTACGATGTCTCTGTGTCAGCACTAATAGTCTTAGGTGGACTAGCAAGCACTGTCTCTAAGCCAGATTTACCTCGGATAGCACAAAATGTCAAAATCGGATTCACAATCGGGCAAGACGGACAGCTGGAACAACTTGACACCTCTCAGCCGCTCCGGCTCTCGCACGACAACGCCTTCGTGAATCGATATGCACATCAAGTTACGCCTTGGAACTCGGTAAGGTCAGTCCTTCTGATTAGTGGTGGCCTCGTCGCAAGTGGTATCATACCACCCGAATTCCAATGCATCTTGGTCGACACGCGTAGTGGAATGTTCACCGCATTAAACACCTCCAAATGCAAGCCTCGATGCCTCGTCGATCATACGATCTCTCTCGTGAATGCTTCTTCAAGTAATTCGAGTTCTGTCGAAGATAACAGTGTTGCGATAATCCTTGGAGGTGGTACGACCTGCTTCTCCTTCGGAAGCCGTTTTGACTCCCATGCTCTTCTGCTTTCCGACGTCCCTTTTCCGACAAAACAATTGGACCAGCAAGAAGATGATAACACGAGACAGTCTTTCAAGTCCCGCACTCCAACCTTTTCGTCGGATCCAGAAGATACATGGAACCATCCACGCGAAATTTCCAGAAAAAATAATCCGACTCAAGTTGACTGGGACCGAGCTCTGGTACGCTCTGAGCCTATTGTTTTTGAAAAACTCGACCTTGGTGACTGTGTGAAACATTGGACGCCAGAATACTTGCAGCAAAAGTCCGGAGAGCTCAAATGCTCAGTCCATGTGTCAACTTCCTCTAATCTCACTTGGCACGCCAAAAATTTCAAGTATACAATGATGAGCTTCAAAGAATTGATCGATAGAACCTTTGGAGATTCTGCTGTACCATCTGAGACCCTCTATCTTCGATCACTTTCTGCTTCACCCAAACAGCCCTCTGATCTCAGTCGAGATTTTCCGGATCTGGCTAAAGATTTCAAGCTTCCCGAACCATTATGCGGAAGTGTGATGGGCCATTTCTTTTCAAGCGTACTCAGAATCTCAGGAGCTGATATGGGGTGAGTGATTTATGAGACAAAATATGATGACTAGTCGTTCAGGGTCCAACAACTGACTGGTTTGACCATTATCGATTTGAACAACATTGCAGCTTATGGGCACACTACGATACGTGTGATAATGTACTAGCTCAGGTAAGAGGTAGAAAACTAGTTCGAATGTGGCATCCTACGTAAGTCAACAAATTAACCTTTCAAAACAAAGTGGCCTTGAGATCCTTCTAACTCATCGGTCGCTTATCATAGTGAAGCACCCAATTTATACCTCGAAGGAAGTTCATCTCACATACCTAATTTTGAACAGCCAGACCTCGAGAAGTTCCCATTATATCGCAAATCTCACCCAATGATCACCATACTTGAAGTGAGTCAAAACACCATTTGCCACAATTGATTACTTTTGTCAACTGACCTGAGTGTTGTATTCTTGTATCCATAAAGCCAGGAGATGTCTTATTCATCCCCGCCACCTGGTTACACTCAGTACAATCATTAGAACCCAGCATATCGATCAATATCTTTTTCAGAACTCAACCTAATGCTTTATATTCTACGCATGATGTTTGGGGAAACGTAGATCCATTACCTGTCCAATCAGTTCAAAAAGAAACTATGGATTCGATCAAAAAACTGGATTTACTTCCAAGTACTCAACGTCAATTTTATATCAAAAAATTAGGAATGGATTTAATTCGGTTTGCTGATCAAGAATGAAAAAAAATGAAAATTCTTGTTAGATGTTCGATCTATTCATATGATGCATGTTCTTTCATTCACTGTGTCTAAAAAGATGGAAATTATGAATTTATGAACCGTTGAGTACATGCATCTGGCAGCTTTGTGGCTCTATCATTGCGTGCATGAGAGATGCGAGAGACTTGTCTACTTTTCTCTTCTTGGAGCACTACATTGCTTGCACTGTCACAAGAGCCACTAAGGTCTTAAAGGATAAATTTACATAGCATGTTCACTCGGGTCAAGACCTCTGGACTTGTGAACGTGGCACCCAAAAGTGACAATTTGGTATCATCATAAATTGTGGGGTCCCATAAATTATAGGTCACTGATATTTCGTCCAGTCAAGAGGCCCAAGATTACTGAAAACAAAAATACAAGAATACTGAAAATAAGAATCATAAGGGGTATCAAGATATGCACACGTACTAGTTTCAGATGAAAGCGTCTTCTAAATTCGTCCTACAGAATAGAAAGTCAAAGTACATCACTGAAATACTCTTGTTCCAGAAGACTTTCTAAACAGTTTATTCTCTTAGTGGGATCTTTTTGTAATAATGAACGAACCAGCGTACATAACTGAGGAGAAGCTGTTGACGGGAACTCCACCTCCTTAAGGCAAATTTCGTATTCTAACCCTTGAGGGCCGGCTGTAAAGACGAAAAGAATCAATCAGTTATCAAAAGGGTCGGATAGATAGGAGGGAGAGAAAAACTTACATGGCTTGAATGGTAATTCGTTCATAGTCATTTCGTAAATCATCACCCCAAGAGCCCACCAATCAATTGCTTTTGTGTACATCAGTCCACGAATTACTTCAGGTGCCTTCGCATGGGGACTACCACAATCGCCAGTGGTATATTCAGTTGAGGTTTTGATAGCCAGACCAAAATCAGCCAATTTAACGCGATTATCCAAAGTCAACAAGATATTTTCTAGCTTGACGTCTCGGTGGATGATATGATTTTGATGCAAGTATTCAAGCGCTTTTGCTACATCCATGATATAGACCTTAGCTTCTGACTCAGAGATGTGGGTTTTATTCTTGAGGTCGCCGCCAGCGGCATATTCACAAACAAGGTGACAGTTGTAATCCACGCAGTAAAATCCAGAAAATCCCATAATTGAAGGGTGGTTGAGACCTTGGAGTATGTTTATTTCATTGGTGATCATATCATCTTGCCAGTACCATCCATTATCGACACGTGGGATGACCTTGATTGCATGTAAACTTCCATCTACTTTTGATTTGGCCCTGAGAACCGAAGAAGACCCACCAGACCCAAGTTCCTCCATAGTTTCATAGTCTTCCTTTCGTAAAGTCTCGTGGTCCAAGATGCTTTCTTCGGGGGCTGGAGAGTTGTTAAAAGAGAGCTTTTGAGATATATGAATCATACAGTATTCTGCGCTCATGGTGTTTGAGAAAGGTTTCGTGGAAGTGATGAAATAAAATAGTTTTGGTAGGCAGGAAGTGTTAAGTAAGTTGTTGAGCTAAATATGGACGTGATCAGTGAGGTTGAGAAACATCTTGGACAGGTCGACGATAAGCGTTTATATACACAGGAAGATGCTGATCCTAATGCTGAGGTTGGTGCCGAGGTTGATCAGTCTGAAGCATGAAAAGGACGGCAAACTGGAAGGAGGCATTTCCTTGATGTCAAAAATGTCCACACAGCATAAATCATGGTAGTGCTTTTATCTAACATTATTGACGTTCAAGGGGCCCAGAGCTTTGGCGCCCTTGTCTCAATGTACATATACACACTTTGGAAATGCTGGGATAAATCCCCCATTATGTTCGCAATTTTTATGATTATCAAACATACATGAAAAGCACTGATTTATGGCCCTATCACCCCACTGATAAGAACTCGTCAATACATCCGGCTTGTAGAAAAGCGTCCGAACACAGCTGAATTAATTTTTTGTAGGTCGTGATCATTATTCTTTAACAAACAAATATCCGCGTCAGACATTCATATTCATTTATCAACTTTTCGAGGTCGAAAGTTCTATTTTGTCAATTCCGTATACTTTGTCGGGTGCCCTCTCAGCTCGGCTTTTGCTTTTCCCAGATGTTGACTGCTATCTAAATGAATCCTTTGGGTCAGCTCTCGGCGGGAGTGCAGTATCTAATCCCCGTTTTGTATGATCCTTTTTAGATTGCAATCTCGCATTACTTTGGAATCTTCAAGTCTAATAATATCAGAGCCATTGTTCCTCCTATGAAGATATTGGAGATAACTAGGGGTCAATGCAAAAGCAGACGCATGTCTTTCAATGGCACGCTGTTTCACTTCTCAACAATTGCTAATGCTCTGGAAGGGTAAAGATGATTGATCTTGTCTTTGATTGACGACATGAAGTCATGTTTACAGAACGGTCAGTTGTGATCAAGACAAAAATCCGACATAATGATGAACTCCATCAAAGTCAACACAAGGCGTTGCGAGTGGCTTTACCGCCATTCTCCACTGTACATAGTAAGAAAAGATCATCGACTTTTGATGTTGTATTGTACATCCAGCTAGAAACGAGGTGAGTGTTTCAATGTTTGAGGGGCCCTTGTTCAAGAGGCAACTTGTAGGTTGAATCAAACGTATCATTGATAGTGTGAATGTGCATCAATCTAAGCAAAAGATTGGGATTCCATCAATCGGCCCAATTTGCGTTTGATATTGAAGCTCTTTTCAAGCGCATTCCCGGTTAGTCAATTGAAAAACGACTCGGTCTTGTAGAACCAGCCTCTCGCCCCTCTCTCGCTGCTTGCCTAACAGGGCTAAAAGATTGGTAGATCTGCTTCAGAAAACTCGAAGTATGATCGAAAATGATCCTTGTGATTTTACGTTGATCTAGCAACTATCGACTCTTGCGTGCGTCCACTTTATGTGGGGATTCGGCCGGGACAAGAGAACTTGAGTTTGTAGGAAGATGCTACTCGAATACCCAAGAGATACAAATGTCGTTTTCCTGTAACGGTCGAAAATCGAGAATCGAATGGTTTGGTGATTTGAAAGTTGAAGAAACCTAACCGTTCAACAGTTATTTCCCAGTTCATGCAGACTCCCGTAGCCCGTCGGCTGGATACAAATCTTCACCTTTCGAAGAAATTGCTACGACCTCAGAGCTGAATAATCCGAAACTGCTGCGTCTGGATTCGATGGGAGAGAAAGCTCAAAAAAACGACCGTCAGCCCCACTCGAAGCCTCGCTCGGAGGGAGGGACTGAGGGACTTAAGTTTGCGTGTGGGTTCGGTTTGAGAGTCTTTTAAGTTTTAACGGATGAACCTCCTAGCTCGAGCATTTCTGATGTTCAATTGATCGCATTCACAGAAACTCTCTATTGATGTAAGGTAAAAGGAGTAGACATTTTCCAACAGACGAGTTGCTCAGCTTTGGGTTGCTAAATCAAACCGGAGGTAAGCACGGTCAAACCGACTCGTATTCGAGACAAATATAAGTATTATATGGACCACTTTTTATCTTGTAAGAATATCATTATTCCGACATTCCCCCTTTAGATCCGCAGTGTCTATGACGTGATTGTTTACGTCCGCCACGAGACTGTTCGGTCGGCGTTCTGATGCGTTGTTGATTCTGGGTTTTTTCTTCCGTGCATATATAAGGCATTCTTGAACACCGTGCATAGCTTTCCTCGAGCATCTGCGAAATTCGATTGATCTCAGGTCCGAAGTTACGGAGAAGACGAGTTTGTAAAATTTGCAATTGCTCGGGTGAACATAATCACACCATTTCATCATCGACAGACATTGATTGAAGAATCATAAGTATCTCGATTCCAATTCACAACGCTTGCCAACCTTCAAAGATGAGACTGTCATGTTTTACCTTGTGTCTAGCCTTGACTATCCTTACTCCACATGTGATCACACAATTCGCGGGAACAGTTCATAACGGTGTCGGGATTGGTATGTACACCATTTCAAACTTACCTTTCTACACGATCACCTAAATTTCTTTACTAACGCGTCTCTTCTCAGGAGGTTGGTTGTTGGTCAGTTCGCGTTTGTTTTATATACGAACCCTAATGAAACGGGAAGAAGGCCTATCGCGAGGTTTGCTTTGATGAGGTGTCATCTGATATATTATTCAAATTTCATCAGGCAGAGTCATGGATGTATCCAAATAGATGGCAACAAATGGGTGGAGAAAGATGTGATCAAGACGCATCAAGTTGTGCTGCCACTGAATGGAGTTTGGTTAGGAAGTTGGGTCAGACTCAAGCCAATGAAGTTTTTTTGAACCACTGGAAAACTTGGTCAGTCGGCTTTCTGCCTCATATTCTTTGGTGATTGCAAAAGTACTGATTTTTTGACTTTTTATGTTTGTTACTGGATCCGCGAATCAAATGTTCAGGTTTACCCAAGAACATGTTGATCGCATCAAAGCCCATAATTTGGATCACGTCAAAATTCCTTTGGGATTTGTGAGTTAAATTCATTTGGAGCAGATATGTTGCCACTTCGATCGTCGTTTGACTCATTCACCACTCAAATATTCTGCTCATGATACCCGATTCCAGTGGATTATCGAAGAACTCGTTCAACAGCCTGCTGAGAGGTATCCACAGGGTGGTTGGATGGAGCTCAAACGCGGTCTTCGCCAGCTCAAAGGAGCTGGTGTCAATGTTCTGTTCAGTATGCACGCTCTTCCGGGTGTATCTACAGCCAATCAAAACTTTGCCGGGAATAATACAGATCAAGTTCACTTTTATGAGGACGCCAATTATCGTAGGGCTCTTACATGGGCTGCTGTCTTGACTGCCATGTCTCATCTTGATCCCGACTTTCAAGGCGTCCTTGGTATTCTGTGTATTAACGAACCAGTACGGGATGTAAGTTTTTCTGAGTGTAGTCTTCCTTTCAATACGTCCGAATTAAACTTATGCATCTTTATATCATCTTCAGACCACTAAGACTCCTGGCTTAGAACAATACTACGCCGACTTTGTAACAATAGTAAGAGTAGTAGAGTACGCACTTGCGGTTTCTTGTGATGTGGACCTTCAACCCTCAATCCAACGAATGGCCACGTCAAATAATGTGATACCAGCTTTACTAGCAGCAATCCCATTACTACCGAAGTATGCGGCCAAAGCCGATCCACCAGTTGATGTCAAGCCCCTCGCAAATTCTCTGAGCGTTCACTGCCATGGTTCAAGCGATAGTCCACCTCACTCAAATAAAACATCGAATCTTACGCACCAATCTAGTGATACTCAGTCTAAAGCATCTATCCCTATCAATCAAAGTGATAAAAACACTTCGAGCATTGATCGATTCTGCATTACCACAATGGCAATGCCTAAAACAACGCAATGGCAAAATGACGCTGCAAGCATGGCTCCCCATGCCCTTGGACCTCGAGCGTACGATGATCACGTGAGTCTTACCTATCTTATTAGAGTTAACAACTCTCGTCTGGCCGACTATGCTACTCACACTCATCTAAATACCTTCTTTTGGCTTGATCGTACTATCTAGCTATACTTCGCTTATGGTAAGTTATGTTTAATTTTGAATCGTTGTAGAAAAAATATCATATCATATGCATCAGTCTCACCAAGACACGATGTGATATTTCTGTTTCCCAGGTGGAGTTGCAAAGAATGCGACATATGACTCCTACCTTGATACCATTTGTTCATTTGATCGCATCGAGACTGCCAAAGCGAATGGAGAAGCTGAATATGGGATGGGAGAGTTGTATGTAATCATTCGAATCATATCGAAATCAATACATAAAGATGAACTTATGAATTGATTTGATGATTTCAGCTCTTTAGCTACTAATTTCGATGTCACGCTTCCTGAATTGAAGGGTTGGGGAGATGCTCAAAAATTTTACAACTTCAAGGTGCGTTTCTTTCGGAATAGAATTCAGTCACCTATATTCACTAGTTTCATTTTTCGTCGTCCATACTCGATTTGCATATTTCGAAATCCTCTTCACAGACTTTGTACAGGACGTAAGTCTTATATAGTTCCTTGTGATTGAAAATAATGGGTAGGACTTCTTAATGAGTACGACTCTAATCATGATCTGAAATCAGGTTCTGGACGTTTCGAATTGAGGACCCAACAACACCAGATAGAGTCAGCCTTGCCAATCAATGGTAAGTTCAAGTTACCTCTCACTCAGATTGTTGTACCTTCCGTACAGAAGAATGATAATCTTATCCAAGATTCCCATTTATATTTCGATTTTGATTGTTTTATTCACCAGGTCCTATTTCAGAGCTATTGATCTTGGTTTACTTCCTGATCAACCTTCTCAGCTGTTCAATACCTCAATCTGTCAAGGTCGAGAGAAGAAAGTAAACTCGGTTTGATATATGGTGTTTGTTCTGCATATGTAAACTACCTATCATTATTTGACTGCGCTCAATTTCTTTTCTGGATCGGATTCCATTATTCATTCAGTTCTAGGTCATGGATCATGATGTGCCAAGTGTAGACTTATAATTTGTATGATGTTTAACCTTTTGGCTTTACGTGTTCTAAGTCAAGCTTTATGGAAGTCTGTTTAAAACTTTTGCCTGTGTGTTGCTATTTAAATCATTTTCTTCTCATCCTGCGATGCTCTGTATGTGCACACTGAAAATCAACTTTTTAAATAAGAACAAAGATATCTTTTTAGAGGTTCAGCACTTTTACTTTATGACGAGGTCAGAGGATGTTTCACAGATTTTTTTTACCATAAATTTGTGGAATTCTATGGATATGCAAGATTGTACAATTCATTGACAAGTTTCCAATTTTTTACAATCCAAACACATTTTCATTGATCTAGATGACCTCATGAGCTCTAATTTGTCTATGCAAGTCCCTTCTCAAAGCACAGACAAATCAAACAAACTTGGCAATACACATACGAAGCCTTGAATTTCTCAGCATGGCAAAGTGTTGTAACACAGAGCAATCGAAGTTTTCCTTTATGGTGAATGGGAGAAGTCAAGCATTAAGCTCACCCTCAATTGCATTACACAAATTCATCAAGCGTAAAGTTGAGTTTTCCTTGAAGTTTAGGCCCTTGAGAAGATCTCCACCTGTTCTTTTCGAAGTCTAGAGATTCTTTCCCTGATGATTCATCTCCTATTTTCACGTACCCCAGGTAAACAGATGTGATTTCAATCAAAAACATTGGCGAGGCATTCAGCTTTGAAAGAACAGTGACCGATCCTTAGACGCATGGCATCTACCGACAGACTATCCGACAATATTTTCGAGCATCATCCCTTGATCTGATCCTTTTGTGTACTTGACTTAGAGCCCTCTCGCGGCGGTATGCAACGAATGATAGGTTACAATGATTTTGTGAAGGCTTCCTCGTAGCTTAAATACCAGCATTTGTGTGGCTCTTAATGAAGGTCTCCTCATCCTTCAATCCTCATTCCAATCCCAACCCAATCCTCTTGTACATACATTACCTGCTCTCATTCCTGTTTGTTTTTTTCGATCTCTAAGCATTCGTGGTATTGCATACCAACATTTTAATCCATTTCAAATCCTCTCAAGCCGGCATCTATAGGTTTACTTTTTCAAACTTTCCAAAACTTGCATAATCCATCCCATCTTTACATAATCATTCCAAAATGAAATTTGCTACCTCAGTCAGCTTTGTGTTATTGGCCATCTTCGCCACTGCTTACTCCCAAAATGTTCAAGCAGGTCATCATCATATAACTCTTGTGTAAGTGAATTTAATAGAATTTATTGAACATATTATATGAAGATGAAGAAATTAAGCTTACGAAAAGTTTATGATTTATAGAAAAAGATCTTTTCTCGATCAAGATCATTCAAGATCTTCAAATCGTCTAAACCATCGAAGTATCCATCTCCAAAGGTTCGAATCGTTTCAAACCACTTAACAAAAACCCTTCTTCTATATTTTTTTATATATTAACCAAATTCTACATTCTTTCTTTTTTCACATCTTTAGTTCATCAAGCATACATCCTAGAACATTTGGTACTATGGGTGGTGGAGAGTCAAGTGGTTTCGGAGGTGGTGGATTCGATCTCAAATCAATGGTACATACTTGAATTTTTTTTCTCTATTCCTTCAAGATTCAAGTCTTGATGATTTACTGATCCATTCATGTTTTTTATTTAAAACCCTAAAAAGTTCGAGGGCATCATCAAAATGATCACTGGTGGTGCTGGTCTCGGTGCTCCTCCGGCTGCTGGTGCTCCTCCTGCGGCCGGTGCTAGTGCTCCTCCTGCTACTGGCAGTAGTGATACTCCTCCTGCTAGTGGCAGTGATACTCCTCCTGCTACTGGCAGTAGTGATACTCCTCCTGCTACTGGCAGTGATACTCCTCCGGCTAGTAATAGTACGACTCCTCCTGCTACTAATAGTACTACTCCTCCTGCTACTGGTGGGGCTGCTACGGGTGGTGATGCTGCACCTACTGGCAGTGGTAGTGATGCTCCTCCTGCTGGTGGTGATGACACGGACTCATCAGATTCGTTTTGAAGAATTGATGATCAGATTTTCTCAAGGCTATCAATCATTTGTTGTAACCCTAATAGGTTGATGTTTGTACAAATCATACATCCATTCAAAATTTGTTATTTTGTACCTATCAACACCAAAATTAGTTTTTGTATTTTGTTCTTTTTTTACAAAATTTAAACTCAACTTGATTCCTGTCACTCAGTCGACTCTCAGCTTGCTGGTGATTTTTTTGTAATTTTTCTTAAAACATCATTTACAAAATTCTTAAATGTTTTTCGTCCTTTAAACTTTTAAGGCTTGTTACCAAGTTTGAAGGATTTGGTAATGCGTGAAGATGAGCATGAGCCATTGTTCTGAGAGTTTTGGATTGAGGATCATTCATAGATCTCTATGTACCTTCATCATCAGGGGACTTACAAGACGGATTCTCAAATCTTGGATTGAGTGGATTTACAATCTCCAGACTCTCTTCTTCATGCTACATACTTATGTACACATTTTTACTTTCTCTTTTTGTAATTCAATTCAAAAATCAGTTTTTTTGTTATGAAATCCTACTCCTCTTTCCATGGATCACACAGTATTCATAAATCCAATCCTACAAACCCAATCCACAATACCTAACCAAAACCCTTCTCCCAAAGATCTACCTTATCAAACCGATATCTAACCCTCAAAAGCATATGAAAACCCATCCATCCAAGATGTTTTGGGTATAAAATCAAATCTAACTTGTAAAGATCTCTAGTAGTACTTAAATTCTAGTAAAATGTCTTTTTGGAAACGTAAAAAAAAAAAAAAGTATGCAGATTTTTTTCTTTATTCAAAAATGAAAAGTGATTCGATTTACACAAAAAAAAACCAAACAAAACCAAGAACAAAATAACCTACCTTTTCAAAACACGAGTAATTTTTTTTTCGTCATTCTAAAACACACAAGAGACCTTTAAATGATGATGATGAATAATTTTTCACATTTTTTTTTCGTGTTTGTTTGTTTGTGACTACTACCACCAAACTTTTGATCTATCTTTCAATGAACCGATTCCCATTCTATTTAGTCTTTCTTTAACGTTTCCTAATTTTCCAATCTGTCCAGTTGCCACAATTGTAGGTTCACCTGAAAATCCATCCTGTTCAGGTCTAATGATTTTAGAAATCACTCGATGAATATCTTCAATGGTTAAAGCTTCAATCGATTTCCAAATCCTACATAACAAACAAACACACAGAAAAGACAAAAAAAAGATCAATTTGATTTCCAATCTTGTCGAAAAAAAAAATGATAGTCAAGTGATGAAGTTTGGAAGATCACTCAACTCATTCCAAGGTCTTTTTCTACCTGAGCTTTGAATCTGTCGACCTAAATCTTCAACTTGTAAGACTCTAGATTCCAAACCATACATCATAGTAGACCTCAACTGATTCTTAGCTCTATTCAATTCGTTTTGATTGATCCCATTCCTTTGATTTCGTTGAGATCCAATCATCGGTTTCGAAATCAAATTCAATTGTTCACCAATAATCTCAGGTACATAGTCAACAAACTCTGGTACCACACTCATTCCGATTCCAAACAAACCTGAATCAGAATACGAATGATGAAAGGCTTGACAGAAATCGACTTCTGGATGAGGATTTAAAACTCTGGTATAGAGTCTTGAATACATTCCTTTACCTGGTCCACCTGCTGAAAATGATGAACCTCCTCCTAACATGATATGTGCACATGCAATCGCATATAGATCTTCATCATGAATGTGGGGTGCTTCAAATCCGATATAAAGATGAGCTAGTTTGGATTCTTCGTCTGGGATTCTCATCTCTCCGCCTTGGTAGTATGGTTTTGCATTGATCAATTCTTCGAATGTTTCGAGTGGTTTACCTGTTAGAGGATTGATAGGTGATAGATTGATGGGATTTGAAGTTTGATTATGATTTTTTGTTGATGAGGATGAGGATGTAGAAGGATCGAATTGGATTCCATTAAACTTTCCAAAATGTTCATTTGCATAAATCAAAAACTCATGATGATTAACTCCAACAGCTGCAAGAACGATTCGATTAGGTTTGTAAAACCAAGATCTATATTCCCAAAGCAAATCAGTTGAAATCTTTGAAATCCGATCTTTTGGACAAATCAATGGTAACCCCAACGTATTCTTTGGAAAAGCAATCTCATGTAAAACTTCAGGTATCATATATTCCGGGTTTTTATTAATTTCATTCACTTCCCATTCGGTTGATAATTTTTCAATTTCTAATTCTTCTTTAGTTAATAATGGATTTAATGAAGTATCTGATAAGATAGATAAAACTGAATTGATTGAATTTGGATATGAAGTAGCTTGATAGACTATGGTATCACGACCTGAAGAAGCAAAGAATGAACCACCTAATGATTCGATTTCTTGACCGATTTGATCTTTTGTTCTGGTTTGAGTTGATTTGAAGGCCATTCGATCGGTTAGATGAGTTACTCCTCTTAGCTTATGACTTTCGTATCTTGAACCTGCATCTATGTAAACTCCTATACCGATGAAATGACCTGGTGTTGATTCAGTGGCTACCTTGATTCCATTTGGTAAGATTGAAGTTTGAGTGATAGGTTGAGATGATGATGAGGTGCTATAGTTCTTTTGGATTGTTCTTGTTCTTGTTCTTGTTCTGTTTGATAAGATTGATAAGATGTTTTGATAATTGTTGACTTTCATCATTCGACTTTCTCCTTTCCTTGGATTACCTAAGCGCTCATACTTTTTCAAATTTTTACTTGAATTCTAATCCAAAACTACATTTTAATCAACATCATCTTTCAAACTACATTTCTCATTCACACTCTGCTTCACTGATCAAGAGTCACTTCATTGTGATTACCAACAAAATGTCGTGTTCCAACTCAGATGTAAGTTTTTTCATTTCTTTCAACCACAACCTCTGAGTCTCACTCACTAACTTTTCTATTCTCATCACAAACAAACCCAACACAGTTCTTAACAAAACTAACCGAACTCTTCAAAAAAGATCCATCTCATACAGTCTTCTTAACCCAAAAACGATGTAAGTTGAATTTCCCCCACCCAAAGAAAAAAAACCCTTAATCATTCTTAAAACTGATCTTTGAATTTTGATCATGGTTCATAAAAAGTTACTTATTCAATCGATTCATCTAATCAAGAAACTCAACTTTATCCTTGTTTAATTAGAGCAACAGATGGACACCAAATCAAATTCTCAACCCAAGTTAATCTTTCCCATCCTCTTACACTACCCAACAAACCCATTAAAATCCAAAAAACTAATACCCATTTAAAAACCTTACCCCCCAAAAAAAACCTCTAGGTAAACTCAAATGAATTACCAAAATTTTATGAACAATATTCCAAACTGATACGAAGTTCACTAAACCAAAACTTAATACCCAAAAAATCAAAAAAATCAATCAATACTACAATCAATAAAATTAAAAAGAAATCAAATTTATTAAAACCTTTTATAGGTTTACCATTTGTTTTTGGACCTAAACGGCATTCTGGAATTCAGAAACGTAGGAAATTGATTAGGATTAGAGAAAGAAATGTTTATTTGATTAGGAAAAGATTGGTTTCTAAATTGGTTTCTAAGAATACTATGATCAATAATTGAGCTTTTCAAGAGTTTCTGGGGTTTTCTTTGAAATTCGTAGTTGGTATTAAGAAATTTATGGTATGTGATGAGTTATAGAAATCGGGTTTTGATTTGATTGTTGTAGAAAAAAAAAATATGTGCTCGTATAAATAAAAACAAACTTAACTTACACACTATTACTATTTACTTTAAGATTCTTGATTCAAGACTCGAGACACTCAAGATGAAAGCAGATCTAAGTAAATGTACAATTAAATATTGTTTCACATTCATCTTTATTAAGTACTTATTGTGCAAATACAACTAGGTCTTTGGCAATGGTAAATAGCGCCCATCCGGGACCGGCCCATAGATCAGCCTCAGGGATGTACCATCATCAAAGCTACTTAACTAACTCAAGATTCTATCAGTATCACACAGCAGGAGAACATGCAGTAGGCCATATCAAATGACCCCCAACAAAGATGTGTAGAAATCAAATCAGCCTATTTTTATTAGGATCTATGGAGTTGGGAAAAAAGATCAGGGTTGGTAGTTTGTTTTCACAAAGTGAAGGAACAAAAAATCCGGTTTGATCATTTGAGTGAAAGTTTCCAATGGGGGTTTTTGTGATTTGAAAATCAACACAAACAAACAAAAGATGGAGGAGAGAAGTGTGTACCATAAAAAGCCTTTTACATAGGTTCTGGTGTTTGATTCTGAGGATTTGTTCAAACCAACAAACAAACCTTAACCAACAAACACACCAAAAAAAGGGTAAGAAGTCTTAATCTTTTGTAAGGGTTTGGATAATTTGAGAATTAGATTTTCTTCTGGAGGAATTATTCACCAACTTCTTCATGAGGTGTTTGGGAGAAGCTTTTGAGGAAGTAGAACTTGAAGTGACCATGTATGCAGATTTGATGCAAGAAAACAAAAATGTAAAAAGCATCTGATGTAAATGGTCATAGAAATCATCCAATTATTGGTTCATGATAATTTGATGATATGGAATTTTATTGATTCTGATAAATGAAATGGTTTTTTCCTACAATCCATCCAACTGTTTTCAATACGTATCAAACTTCCTAATCCCACTCACGAGTCACTTAACACTAGAGCCTAAAGTTGAGACCTAAAGTGTACAATGTATGTACTATATAGAAAAATTCAGAAATTTACAAACAGACTACATTAAACTAAAGTGACGACGAGAATAGATGAAGAACTCAAGCTTTTGTGATTTTTGATTTCTTTGATTGAAGTTTGTGTTTGGTCTTTTAGACTTTTATATATACAAGATTGAGATATGAAGAAAGGGAAATATGACGATGGTGATGACGATGGTGGTGGTGGTACCAGTGACTCATTAGAGCCCTTCTAGATCTTTGGTTTCCGAGTTCCGAAGGGCTTTTTTGAAATAAGTAGGATTGAGGGTGGGTGGGGGATTAAAGAAAGGTTTCCAAAGACATTAATACCCACCTATACGCCCTCATCATAGGGAATTATCAATCGATTCGGTTCAAATTCGGAGTTTGGTTTCAAAATGTATGGCAAGATGACAGGTTTCACTTTACAATCATCAATCATTCTCGGTTCAGATTCTGATAGTCAGTATCTCGGATTGAACTTGCAAGAAGCTGATAATCATATGACTCTGCCCTCCAAATCAATGCACAGGCAGCGGATTTGGGGTAAGCTCATGTTGATCTCCCTTTGTGATCTCATCAGATTTCATAAAAATGAAACCATCGCTTGAGCATCGAATCTTGGTCTAAGGAAAGCCTTAATTCTATCAAGTTCTCCTTTGTGTTATAAAGTCTTTATCATCATTGAATTTACCAAGAAAGTTAAGATTAATCATGTTGAGTTTGTTCCAATTTTGAATTTTCTCTATTTATTTGTTTCAGTTCTGGGGTTCGTTCCTTGAAAGATACAAGTTTGAATGAAGATGTTTCTTTTTTTGTTTTTGGTTTTGAAAAGTGGGTAAGTGTCTTTAATTTGACGATTAAACTTTTTCTTTTTCCTTCTCTTATGTAGACTTCCCTTTCATCTTTCAATCATTTGTTTATCTTTTTTTTTTTGGCTCAGTCCCTAGAATTTCCTAACCAAAAAAAATGAAACGTGGGTAAGGGTTAAAGATTTGGATTATATAAATCCTTTCGTGTCTGTCTCTTTCATTTTCAACTTTTCTTTCCTTCCTCTATATCGTTGATTTCTTCATTTTTGATTATTGTTCTTATTCTTTTTTTTGTTCTTATATGAATTTTTGTCAACTTCGTATTTGATTTTCTTTCAATTCTGTTTATAACTCGTATATATATACCTTTTCAAACCCTTACTCAATCTCATTATTATCAACTTGATCATATATCATTTCCTCTCTTATTGCTGTTCTGTCTATATATCATTCAAAACTTAAAGTCTTTTGACTCTTACATCTGATTCTATCTTCATCAAGATCATCTTAACGGGTTTTTTTTCTTTCTTTCATTCATTCACGAATCCCACTCCGAAGGAATTTTTCTTCTCTTCGTATATATATAAAAGATGATTTCAAACTTCAATTCTAATCAATTCGGTCAAGTTTTCGAAATCAATCTTTATACAAACTCTCATGAATCAATCCACCAAACCCAAAATATAAATATAAATTTAAATAAAATCAATCAATCAAACTTTTCCGAACTTAATCCATCTTCCCTACCACGTTCAGTTTTATTCTTCGTACCAAACTCTTTAATCAGTTTAAAATCTTTACCTCTCTTAATTGCTTTTCATGGTTCAACTGAAAATCCCGAAATCTTTCGTAGTAGAACTACTGATTTTGCTTATGATCAATTAGCTTCTCAAGAAGGTTTCATTGTGGCTTATCCTACTGGTTATAAAGGAAATTGGAATGAGTATGTGATAATGATTTCCTTTAAATTCTCTCAAGTATTGATGAAACTTTTGATTGTTTTTTTTTCTTCTTGTCGAATAGTTCTCGTAGAGCCGTCAATTATCCAGCCAAAGTTGAGAATATTGATGATATAGCATTCACTAAAGCTATCATCGATTTCGCTCATAAGAAATGGTCTACTTCTCTTACAAAAACTTTGATTGCTGGTTATTCAAATGGAGGTCATATGTGTTATCGACTTGCTTTGGAATTAGGATCAAGTTTAATTTCAGGTGTAGCGATTCATTGCGCAAATTTACCTACTCTTGATAACTCGGATTGTATTCCTATTCAATCTGATGCTATTCCGATTTGTATTATCAATGGAACAGCAGGTTAGTCAATTTTCCTTTCTCATTTCTTCCTCTTAAACAAACATAATCTAAAGAATATTTGAGGATACTGATTCTGAATTTTTGTTAATAATTATTTAAAGATCCAATCAACCCATGGATCGGAGGTATCGTTAGTTTAGGAAACCAAAAAGGAACAGTAGGAGGTAGAGGATCACATCAAAGTTCGATTCAAAGTATTGATTATTTTGCAAATCGATATTTAGAATTAGGAGAAGAATTAGAAATTGAAGAAATTCAAAAATCTGAAATCATGGATTTAAGACAATTTAGATCAATGTCAGATAGGAAATTAAAGGTTCAATTGATTGCTATGATTGGTGAAGGTCATTATGTACCTGTAGCTACTGGAGAGAAAAGAGCATTGATTATCGGTCCTAGAAGAGGTGCTGTTCATGCTCCTAGACTTGGTGAGTATTCATGTTTCACAATTCGGTTTGGTTTGGTTTTTGATAGGATTATTGATGGGGTATTGGTTTGGTTTTCCATAGCTATTGAATTCTTTAAAGAGGCTACTGGCGTATTTTATAAATCTCACTGTCAACGGCAACGAAAAGATTCAGATTTCTCAGATGCATCACTATGATTTGAAGATTGATGATCAATTCTCTTCATACCTTTAATCCTTCTTCAGTCTTTTGCATATCTTTTGTTTATCAAGTTCTACCTATTCTCATATCTTTTGGTTAAAGATGCTTACTCATCATTTCAAAAATTGCCTTTATGAATCTTTCATCTCTTTTTATGATCAGATGAAGGATTAAGGAAAACTACAGATTCTTCATTGATTGTTGATCATTCAAATCTTCTTCTTCACATTCTTTGTAAATTTCTTTTTAACTTTTTTTTTGACTTTGTTGTTTATGAAACCTCAAATGAGTGATTTTTTTTTTTGGTACATATTTTTTGGTTTCTTCTCGTTCAAAATTTGTTCATAGCATTGTTCTTTTTTTTTGTCTTTTTTGTTTATATGTGGTAATAGTTTGAATGATACCTTATATAATTTGTATATACTTTGTAAATATTTGTTTAAAAAAAAATTGATAGATTAATCAATATTCCATTCTTTTTTATTCATAACTATCGGTATCAAGAGTACATATTCATTGATTGGATAGATCTTCTTTGAGGTTGCAATTTTCTTCAACTTGAAAGTTTAAAGAACATTGGTTGAATGATTACAAGAATCGTATTGTAGATAGATCAATTCCACTGGTTAAAAACCCCACGAATGTAAGTGAGAGAGTTCAATTTTATTGATCAAGATGCAGTATGAAAATGTTGTACTTCTTCATGGTTGCGGTTCAACACCTTATAACGGTCATAGATCAAAGAAGGAGAATCTAAAAGCTGACAACGAAACAAAAACGAGTTGATTATGATAGTCCTTGAAATACAAACTTAAACCTATATACAACCAGTCACACTAGATCAAACCAAGGAAAGAGTACAAGATAATTTTTGCAGAGATCCTAACTTCATGATGCTGAACACAGGTATAATAACACTACTTTACGTCCTTGTAAAATTCAACTCAGAGTCAGTTTAGTTTCTTCTCTCGACCTTGACAGATTGAAGTATTAAACAGATGAGAAGGTTGAGCAGGAATTATACCATCATCTACTCCTCTGAAGTAAGACCTATTTAATTTCAACCCAAGTTTTAAAGAGAAAGATTAACAAGGAGTTTCTAGCAAATTATTATTTGTGTGAGTCTGTAAGATGATGTTAGGGAAGGAATTCTCTAACCATTGTTGGGCAAACTTGATTGCGTCTGGTCCTATTGGGTCCTCGATTCGAAAGGTCCAGAAGCTGAATTGAGATCATGATTAAAGTCTATTCCATTATGATTAATCACAGGAAACAAGACAAGACTTACGTCCAGAATGAGGCCTTGAAAGAAAATTTCAAACCGATCAAATAAAGAAGAAAACTTCAGTTGGTGTATACAATGAACTAAATCTAACGAGATCAGATTCACACCTTTTTCTGATAGAATTTTTGGGCGTCTCCCCATCCCCTCAATTCATCAAGTGTGGCATTGAAATTAGTAGCTAAAGAGCTTATGTTCATCAAATCAAATGATGAGTTCAACCTCTCTGGAGTCTGATAAAATTCAAATGAGTACATACAATTCTCCCATCCCATATGGAACCTCTCCATTTGCTTTGGCAACCTCCACGCGATCAAATGCACAAATGGTATCAAGGTAAGAGTCATATGTAGCATTCTTTGCAACTCCACCTTTGAAAATGAGGAGATCGTATCACGTCTAGGTTAGCTTCAAGATTACCATGTGAACAGAAATCACACGTGAAAATAACATACCGTATGCAAAGTATAACTAAATATTTTAGCCACAGCCAACATTTTTTAGATCAGTGTGGGTACCATACATAGTAGGTCAGGTGGGAGATTCACGTCAATCAGATAGGTACAACTTACGTGATCTTCATACGCTCGAGGTCCCAGAACATGAGGAGCCATACTTGCAGAGTCGTTTTGCCATTGCCATGTTTTGGGCAATGCCATTGTGGTGATACAGAATCGATCAGAGCTTTGTTGACTCCTTCGAGAGCTTGGGACGTTTTCATAACTTCTTGATCGATGCGAGATATAGCCTTGAGATAATGGTTTGTGCACAAATGGGCGTACATATGCACCTTGGGAAATGCCAATCACGGGATCATTGACAACATCAACGTGTGATGATGCTGTAGACGTGTCATGCGTGGTGATTTCAAGCTTGGGGTCAGATACCAAATGCTGCGTAGAATTCAGGCTTTGATTTGAGTGAGTTCGATTGTTGCTTGACTCATGACATTGTTCGATAAGAAAACATGTGAGGGCCTTGACATCGAGTGGTGGATTGGCTTTGGCGGCATAGACCGGTAGCAATGGGATTGCTGCTAGTAAAGCCGGTATCACATTGTGAGAACTGGACATTCTCTGGAGTGCAGGTTGAAGGTCCACGTCACATGAGATTCCGAGTGCATACTCTACTACTCTTATAATTGTAACAAAGTCGGCGTAATATTGTTCTAAGCCAGGAGTTTTGGTAGTCTGAAGATGAATATTTTTCAAATGGATCAGCCACATCAGACGTGTTGCACCAAGAGTAGATTCGAGGGAACTCACATTTCGTTCGGGTTCGTTAACACTTAGAATTCCAAGTACGCGTTGAAAGTCAGGATCAAGATGAGACATAGCAGTCAAGATAGCAGCCCAAGTAAGAGCTCTACGATAATTGGCGTCCTCGTAAAAGTGTACTTGATCTGTATTATTACCTGCAAAGTTTTGGTTGGCAGTAGATACACCGGGCATGGCATACATGCTCAACTGGACATTGAGACCAGCTGATTTGAGCTGACGAAGACCGCGTTTGAGCTCCAACCAACCACCTTGTGGATACCTTTCTGCGGGATGTTGAACAAGTTCTTCAATAATCCAAAACCCCATAGGAATTTTGACGTGATCCAAACTGAGAGCTTTGATGCGATCGACGTGCTCCTGGGTAAACCTGACGATTTGATTTGTCGGTCAAAACAAAAGAAGCGGATCTGAACTTAGAGCAGACCTTATTTGACTCACCAAGTACTCCAGTGATTCAAAAAGACTTCGTTGGCTCGAGCTTGACCCAACTTCTTGACCAAACTCCATTCACTGGCAGCACAACTTGATGAGTCTTGATCACATTTCTCACCGCCCATTTGTTGCCATCTGTTCGGATACATCCAGGACTCTGCCTGACGAGATTCGAATAAGATCGTTAGGTATCAACTTACCAAAACTATCTCCTCATAGGTCAAGTTCCCAGTTCTTGGCACAAGCTTGGCAGATCAAATCAACTCGAACTAACCAACAACCACCCTCCTGAGTAGCCATGCAATCAGTAAAGAGGTTTGAGTGACACTCGAGAATAATAAGTTGAAAACTGAGGTACGTACCAAGTGCGACACCGTTCTGGATTGTTCCCGCAAATTGTGTACTCACATGGGAAGTAAGGGCACACAGCCCTAACAGAAAGGTAAAACGGGAGAGTATCATCCCTAACGATTATGAAATCACTTCGAGATGGGATTAACTACTGAACAAATGTGATGAGGCAATACTTCTGATACACAAACATCAAAAGGTTTATGGAGTTTTTGGATCTAGAAATCGAAGATGAACTCGAAAGCTGAGCGCCTCGCCTCATTTGCATCTGTCCAAACTTTTCAACTTCATGCCGAAATTTCCTGAGAAGGTCGGCCTACACCCGTGAGATCCCAAACCCTTCGACCTCGCCAGAGTACATACCTGTCAACATATCACAGCTTATGAAAGATTGCTGTGCAGTGTGGTGGACCTGTTGCGGATTGGAAATCATTCCTGGTAAAGTATCAAGGAAATAATAATTTCAGGCTTGAAGGGAGTGTAGCTAACTTAACTAAGTCCCTCGATGCTGAGACAGCTGTCATTCAAGCAAGTTGAATCCGCATGTCTCAGCATGAGGGACTTACATCTAATCTCGGGTTTTTGGCCTGAGGGGTAAGAAATCCTTCGCAGAGGAAATCTTGTTTTTCCCATTCCCGTTAGCTCACCGAGGAACATTTTACGCCGCTTCGTAAGCATATGCGCTGAGCCTTGCGCCATAATGTACAACAGGAATTGTCGAGATTCCTCGGTTATTCACCGAGCTACATTTGAAATCATTTTTAAATTTTCATCTCTTCTTCTTGTGTAGCGGGACTAAGTCTGAGGACTTAGTCCCATGACTGAGCAACCAATACGTGTAGTATAAATCAGGTAGACACCTCTTATTTGATAAACTACTCTCTTTTACGTAGGCACCTATTGAAATGTAAAGAAATATTTTGCTGTGACAGTGTTGTCGATGTGTCTATGACCCATCAATGGTTGGTGAGCTAGCCTTTTGATTTCCTGTCCCAAACCGCCAAAAAAAACAGATTTCATTATCCAATTATCGATTCGATCCTTCAGTGACTACACTTTTATTTAATCCACTTGAAAAATGAGGGATAAATCCATGATACATCCGGTTGAGAAGTTCCACCCAGGTCGAGTGAAACAAGTGTTAGATGTGTGCCAGCTTATCAACAACCAGGGGATCACCCCAAAGAAATTTATGCAATGTTACTTCTTGTCTGACAAACTGGCGTCCAAACGGAGGATTTGGGGGACTGAAGGTGGTTGGCCTTCCTCTCGTAATGTGATTTTGAGCATTCGCAAAACCATTTGCCAACAATCCGGAGGCGATCAGATGTGGAATGATTTCATCCTCGATGAAGTGAGTACTCCACCACCCATCATGAAATAAAGATATGGTGCTAATGGCTTCTTACATATATCATTTAGGCTAAACGCATCGTTCAGTCTCAGGAGTTACCCAGAGGCTACGCACCCAATGGCGGTTACTACAGCTCTGGGAAAATTACGGAGGACTTTTTTTCAGAAGAAAATATTGCTATTCGGGAATCATCTCTGGAATCATCAATGCCCTTTCTATACAAACTCATCAATGCTAAAATCATGTCGAGTATAGAGACATCGGACAACAACAATATCGCCGAAGGCTTATCAGCTGAGCCTCATGTGGATGGTCTTCCACATGATGAAGAAAGTGATCTGCCCGACTCAGACGGTATTGCGTTTTCAAAGCCAAAATCCCATAGGGATATGAAAGTCTTACAGTCCACAGCCGTGAGTTAGATTTTTTGCACATCCCACATGCAAGAAATCACTGTCTGATTGGTTTGCATAGGTTCCTAAGATGATATGTGCTATGGTCTCTTATGTGTGTAACCGAAGATCAAACGGAATGCAAATCCATAACGGGATGACTTTCTTAGCTTGCGGTGCCTCAGAGCGTCTAAATGAATTCTTAACATTTCATGGCCTATCAGTTTCTCGTCAAACCGCATTAAGAGTGACCGATACCCTTTGACAAGCTGCTGAGGAGAAAATCAAAGAGAAAATGGCTGATACGTTTGTGGTTCAGCCATTTCTATGTGTTGATAACATTGACTTTCAACAACGAGTTCATGACAAAAAACTGGAGGCTACCTCAACTATGTTTCACGGTACAACTGGATATCTCCACTTTATCCCAAAGAGTCTTACAGAAAAACTGTCACCGGAAGACTTCTCTTTTTCAGCTTTTGAGGCAGCAATGAAGGCCGCGGAAACCGCCGAGGTTGAAGCAAGCAACTTTTTACTCACTGATGAGGAATTGACTCATAGTGAGGCGGTATCAAAGTCTCAAATAAGTCAAGCTTATCTATCATATATTGCTGTCGATGTGAATGGGGATCCGTGTTCAGAAACACCAAAACTCAACAAATGCCCCCCCGAAGTCGATCCAATCAACGTTGAGGAAGCCGAAACTCTCATGCTGAAACTAATGAACGCGGCAGACACATCGGCTGAGGGAGTGTCCCAACTCATAGGCGAGGTTTTCAAGCAGACAGGTCGGGAGCCTGCTGAGCATCTGCAGGATTTTCAAGTCATTGAAGGGGATGTCGGCACGTGTATGAATTTTGAAAGTCTCCGGGAAAAGAGAATTCCCGCTTTGAATGGTGAAGAAGGTTTTTTAAATTGGTTGACGGTACCTGGACTAGCTCATGTCCTTTGGAATGTGATGCAAGCAATCGTAATTCATCACTATGGTGACGATTCTGAAGCCGGCAACACTGGATTAAGCCGTGCCGCACATGAGTTGGGAGTGTTGGTTGACAACATACAATCGAAGAAGGATTTTAATGCTATCCTCCGAATGGTACATCAGGTTCATGCGGCGGAAATAACCGCGTGCCTAACGTACGTGACTTTGTATATTTGCAAAACGGAGGTCTTTGAAATCATGCTGACTCACCAATAACTTTCTTATCTGTAACTTAAAGTCATATACTGGATAAAAAGCCATCAAACTTTAATCATTTGGACACGAAAAACGCTGAGGAAGTAGTGGAGGATTGTTATGAAGAATTCTTCAGTGTGGCAAGTCTTGAGCGCGCTGAGAAGGATGTAGATGAAGTGGGGTACAACCTTCGCTTACGTCTGCGTGATCTGGGATCAATCGTTGAGATGGATCATGCAATGAAATCAGGTGACATTGGACGTGTAATGATCATCCTTAAATCTTGGTCCCTTATGTCCCATGGAGTCAAAGGCATGTCTCACTATGCTCAACATGTTCCTCGGATTTATTTACTACTAGATCAGTACCTACCCGAGCCTGTGGCTCATGTTATCAAACACTCGCTTTTGGTACCAGCAAGCGGGAGAGCAGGGCATTTTGTCGCAAAGGATTTTTTTCTAGAGCTTCAGAACTACTGGCTCAAGTACTTTTATAACCACGCTGTAAGCACACATCTCACCTTTGGCTGACTCGTGATTGACTCATCAATGATAATATGCCCTATTTTTCTGTAGGGCGCAGGGACAAATATCAAAAGACTGACTGAGCGGTACTCGCTCAACATCCAACTGGTATGTAATCAAATTCAAGTTATTTCATTTTACAGTTTGAGCTTCATCTTTCTTTAAAGTCACACATGAGATATCAAACTAACAAGTTCTTCACAGTTCCGATGGCTGCTGAAAGAAATCAAACTGAGCTCGGGTCACAAGATCATATACCAATCCCACAAGCACAAAATTACACCGTTTTCAATGAGAAACTTCCTTCGCCGAGCAAAGGATTACTTATTTCGAGAGTCTTACCGAGCACATCCAAAGATGGTAGAGGATATCACTTCTCATGGGTTCTCGAAGATGCAGGATATTCTGCTGAAGGAGGAAGCGGAAAAGAACGGAACGAGGTACCGCTGGGGATGCCCAAACTCGACTCTGCCTGCTGAGGAGGACGCGGATCCAAATAAGGGGGGGGGCAGCGGAAGTCCTCGATGTTGATTGTCCCGCCGATAATCGGCTTGCTGAGTAAACGCATTACCGAGAACAATGTTACAATTAGATTTCATCATCATATTGTAAAAGTTGAAATTTGCGTAAGACTCACCATAGTGTTCAAATGTTGGTTATTTGTGATATTTGGATTAATCGAATTTGTAACACTTTGAGACTGTTGATGCACCGGAATGCTACTATTCAGATGCGCTGAGGGGTTACCATTTAGTTGTTGTTCAAAGAATGAATCAGTCCGATGGTTTGTAAAGTTCGATTGGCGAAAATCTATGTTTGGTGAACAACCTTGCATGTCTAATTGTTCATTGAATCAACCATTGAAACCAACTTGAGTTGGTACATACGTTTGGGGTCCAACAAAAGGGTCCTTCCAGTAGCTTGATATGCTTCCATCGTGTTCAATTTGAGATCTACGGTGTTCTGGTCGAGTCATTAAGACAGGTTGGGCTTGAGATACATCCTGTAACACAGGTTGACTCATTAAGGCAGTCTGCGGTTGCGATTGAATCTGTAACACATTCCGCGCATTTGGGTGAGGTTGAACTCAAGTTGAGGGGACATCGTTTTCTTTGTTGGGTTGATCATCAGGCATTTGATGATTAGCCCAACCTTGACCTGAGTGGCGAGGAACAGAGGCCGGCAGCACATCCACGATGTGGCTTTCAACTGTAGAGGGTTGTTGCGATAAGATAACACCGTGAGGCTTTTTGTGTCGTCCACGAGGGGCAGAAGCTTTTGTTTTTTTTGTAGAGGTAGGTACCTTTTGTTTTTTGGCCCCAGATGGAGTAAGCTTAACTAAGCCCCTCTCCCGCGGCCACGTCCGCGACCTCGGAGAGGGGCTTATCGCAGACTCGCGATTTTTCGCGGAGGACTTCCAAGATTTAAGTACCATTATGTACTTTTTTCAACTTCACCTCAAAACCTCTCCACAAAAAGTTCCATGTTTCTCGTATCTTGTTCTCTACATCTGTCTACATAAGTTGGTACTACTTTCAACAGAAACAGACTCGGTTTGCATATTTGGGAGGCATGAGTAAATATGCTCCTTACGTCTTCCTGTAACAGCCTAAGAACGGGTGTACAGGCGGTCAATCTGATTTGATCGATTTGACCTCGTGCGATTCCGGACATAACCTTATGCTGGGTAGAAACTGTCGTAGGCCATGAAAGTCTTATGACCTAATGGCAGTAATCCTTAAGCAGTAAGCCTTAGGGGGGGACGCGTCTGCCGTACATAACTGATAAGACGCCACCATCAGCATCGATGCGCATTCACTTGCCCTCCAACCAACAACTACGTCATGCTTACTCGCTCTCGCAGTGCTATTATTCCACCTTTGCCTGATGTTGGCAGAATCCCAGTCACATCGCCAGCGGCCACCAAAGCTAACCCTCAAGAGTTCCGCCCATCAATCTCAAAGTCATTACTCAAGGAAGACGATGAAGAACAACAAAAAGTGATACGAGATTTATTTTACAGCACATTCAAAATGATTGCTCGAGCCTTACAAGTTGACTCAACCATGAGTCTGGTTCGAAAACGGGACGTCTTTCTCCTTGCGTGTACCGGCTATGGCAAGTCTCGAATACCGGAGTTATTCTATCTAATGTTCACCAAAGCATGTGCACCTATCATCTTGACTTTGAATCCATTAGACGCGCTTGGAGATAACCAAGTAAGTGTCTCAAATGTTTCTCTGTCTTCGGTTCTATATTCAACTTAACTTGCTATTTATTGGGCATTTGGACAGGTTGAAGAAAAGGCTAGAAATGGTCTATCTGCTATCAATCTGACACGGGCGTCCTTCACGCAAGCAGCTTTCAAAGAGGTACTTGCCGGAAAATATCAATTTATTTATGTGGTAAGCCCTGAACTTGATTCCAATCATTTTTGGATCATTGCTGAGCTGACCACACTCGACATGTGCTTAATAGTCCCCGGAAATCTTCTTGAATAACTCTCAATTCAAACGTCTCTATTTTTCCAAGGGTTTCCAGAACCGTTTGGTTCTCAAGGTTGTAGATGAGGCTCACCTCATCTACTGTTGGGGCCTTGCCTTGTCGGGCCGAATCAAGAATTACCGATCATTTCAGATACAGCAAGATCGAACGGCTTTTCGGCCTTCATACGGAAACCTAGTGGAGCGCTTTCTAGCCACCGAATCAGTACCAACTCTGCTCATGTCAGCAACTTGCCCTCCTCGCAACTTCGACCAAATCCTTGCAAGTCTCAAAATCACTAGAGATAGCATTGACATTCATCGAAGCGAATTAGTACGACCTGGGATCCGTTTCATCCGGGTCACGCTCAGGCACGGAGCTTCTTCAATGGACTTGCTAAAGAAGTTCTTTGCACCTAAAACAACGGTAACCGACTCAGAGCTTGTACCCACTCTGGTGTACTGTCATACACAAAACAACACCTACTTAGCCCTTAAAGCAATCAATTCGGCGCGCCAAAACGAAACTGAATCTTCCAACGGCTTGAGTACCTCAGTACGACATCATCACGCCTCGACCTGTCCCATTGATAAGACTCGACGTGCTCAAGATTTTGCGAAGGGGATCTTTTCCGTGATGACCTGTACTAATGCTCTTGGTCTAGGCCAAAACTGGACTTGTGTGAGAAGGGTAATCATCATGGGTCAGCTGGATCCGCTGGAGGTGATCCAAATGGCCGGGCGAGGCGGGCGAGACGGTCAACCAGCTGTTGCGTTTTTGATAGTCAATCAATTGTCGCAGTCTGACAAGGATTCACTTTCGGCTTTGCCTCATCCGAGTCTTCAAGACCACGATCATCATATGCACGCAATGTGTAACACTGAGGTATGTTTACGGGTGGCTTTTGAGGTTCTACTAAGGTGAGTAGTTTGCTTTGCTTTTCACCTTGATTTGCTGTTGTCTATCCTAATGTTTCTCCTCCAATCGATTCCTAGGTGTAACTAACATACCGATATCGACAAATGACCCAGCCGTGACGAGTGAAATTCAAAGGCAGGCGGATGCCAATATGGCACCGTGCCTATGCTCTAACTGCGATTCAAATGCAGCTAATTTTTTCCTAGCGCAACAGAAGATCTTGACACTACAAAAATTGTAATCTTTACCGGGCGGTAAAGAAAACTACTGACGTAGAAAACTCCTGAGGCAACAGGGAGAGAGCTAAAAATCTGAAAAAATATGCACCTTGTTCCTAGGTGTTGGGGCGTCATGATGAGTATTTTTTTTAATTTTACACACAGAAATTGGTTAATGTACTAACAATAAAGGCTGAAAATCATCAACAACCCACCTGTAACAGTACCTGAAAAATGACAATGTATAACAACGCAAAGACAAAAGCGAGCGAAAAGGTGCCTCTAATGTCACTAAGGCAAAAGACGCAAGCACAAAGGACAAAGCGGTATGGTTTCAATTACATTTGGTGATATATAACTTTGTCATACTGACTAGAGTCTTATTTTTGACATACTCCTTATTTGCAGGCGGACCTTTTGACGACTGCGGGGTCTGGGGTCACTGGTGCTAAGGCAACCAAGCGCAAACCACCACCATACGTGGGGAAGAAGGGCAAATCAGCTAAAAGAACCAAGATCGCGGTTTAGCTATCCCTGAGTTTCAACAGGTGTGTCTTCACGATTGCCTTTGGCATCCACCACTGTATCTCCTAATGACCCCCATCGATATCGAGAAACCTCCTTCGTCTTCCGGTCTTTCAGAATGTTATCTTGCAAAACGATTGTTCCGCTTAGAACTGTGTCGGTAAACTGACTTTTGACGGTCGAATTCTTTGAAGTAACATATTGATAGTTCCAGGAGCGGATAAAGTTTGCGAGAGTTTGTTCCGAGAGATTATGGTAGTGGTTTGGAACACGGGTTGAGACCGCTC